GCGCCGTCGGACACATCAAGGCGTGAGGCGTGAGGCGTGAGGACCTCAAGGGCGGCCGCTGAGGACGGAGGACCCGCACCGAGTCGCGACTCAATCAGAGCCCTGCGCCACTAGAAGGCCCGGTCTCCCTCGCACTCATGGAGCAGCGTCCCGCGGGGCCCGCAGGGGCGCGAGCGAGAGAGAAGACACTAGAGCGTCGAAAGCGCCGTTGGGAATGGGACCGCTGCAGCTCGCGGCCCTTTGAGGCACCAATTAAATCTGAGTGACAGTGTCGCCTTTGAGGCGCGCTGCGGCGGACCCATTCCGAGAGTCTCTTTCGGCGCTCCGTCTCTCTCGCACCTACACGCGACGCCGCATGAGTGCGAGAGGGGCAGCGCGACGAAGACGACTCGCCGCTGTGGGCCATCACGGCCTGCAGGGAGAGCGAGGCGCCGCGAGCGCAGCCGCCGCACTGCTGCCGTCGCTCTGTCTCTCTCACACTCACGGGGCGTCCCGTGCGTCCCGTAAGGGAGCGAGAGAGACAGAGCGACGGGAGCAGTGCGGCGCGGAGGGTCGTCGACCACGTGCCGCCATCCCGCCATCCACCAGCACGGCCAAAATGCCCGAATGGCCGCCCCTACAGTGGTAAAATTTTAACGGCCAAACGGAAGGAGAGAGAGAGAGAAGGGCCAAAAAGAAAAGAATACTTTTGCCTGGGGGAAACGTAGGCCCCATCTTCATAACAACGATGGCGGTGGATGGCGTTGAACTTCGGACTAGCTGATTCGGAGAGAAAGAGTCTCGTGCGCTCGGCTCCCGAAGACCGTTGGGCGACGTCGCCCAACCATTCGCCGATTTGAACACATTGGATGAACGAAAATCGCGAAGGTGATGCCGCTGGTTGCGCAAGCAGACCGTCGTTGCGTCAGAGCACTGGGAGTGCGGGCGCGAAGTTTTCCGCAAACGAACCCTGGAGCGGATTCGCGAGAGCCTTGGAGCGAGTAGCGAAAGCACAGCCGGAACCCTGGCTGGCTCGCCTATCATCGCAAGGGGCCCAAAACAGCGAACGGCGAGCCACGCGCGGAGCGACGAAACGCAACACACGCGATACAGCACACAGCGACTATCTCCATCTCACTCGCACGGCCGGTACTTTGTTTCCTTTCCGAGCGATCGAGCGAAGTCGCCGAAACGATAACAAACGAGTCACCCAGAAAACGGGTTAATCAAGCGTCGGGGCGAATCGCACCAACAACACATTCGCAAGAGGAATGAAAATAAATTAACGCGAAGTTTGACGATGCGGAGTCTGCCCTGAGCCCCCGTGGACGACACACAGTGGGTTGGAACCGCGAGGTCCAATCTCTCCACTCACCTTCTTGGGGGCTTCTCGCTGGAGCAACCGGCTGCAGGGTCTCTACTACTAGGAGTGGCGGCTCCCCGCGCATGTAGTGGCCACCGCCGCGGCGGCAGAGGGCGCGGCGGGGCGGGGCGGAGGGCGGGGCGGAGGGCGGGGCGGAGGGCGGGGCCCCTCCCCACCCTCCCACAATCTAAAGTCGCAGCATGAGCACAGCTGGCTTGGAGGCGAATAACATCATCTGCGTGGACTTGAGCCTTTTTTCGAGGGGCCGTGCCGCCGTGCCGCAGGAGGACCTGTGGGGGGTCAAGAGAGCCACATGGCCGCTGGGCTGGCCGGCGCCCCCCCGCCCCCTCCCCCCCCCCTCCCCGCCGCCAACCCTCGACAGTGACGGCTCATCTGCGCTCATCTGGCTCATCCCAGAGGCTCCCCGACGGCGCTGCCCGCGCTGCCCATGCTGTCACGGTCGGTCATCGGCTCCCCCGGCCCCGGCCGGCCAGGCCAGGCGAGGCGACGAGCATCAGTCTGGCGCCTCGGGAAAAACAAGTCAGCAAGACGCCCTTCGGGCGTGGGCGGCACACCGCCAAACAGACAGACAGACAGAAAAACGCGACTTCCAGTAGCAAGTGTCTTCCAAGCGACCCGCGACCCTGCAGGACATGCCCATTGTTTCACAGCCGCTTCACAGCGGACTCACCTCACGCGACTTCGTGGAGCACAACCACCGCCGCGGACCGGCGGGCGCGCGGCCGGCGGCGAGCGCACCGCGCCGACAGTGCAGGCAACCCAACGCACAGGCCGCCAACCAGTCCCTACCTTCAGCCAAAGCCACCATAGCCATACAAATTGGGCTCCCTTGTTTGTGGCCCGGCCACAGCGTGGTGACCACACGAGAAAAGTACGATTGCGCTAATTCTTGTGTTTGCCTCTGACAGCCCGTAGGCGTGGATGAGAGCAGATAAGGAGCACAGCTAGCGGGGTGGAGCGCCTGTGAGGTAGGCCACCGCGTTGATCCGCAACGCACAGGTGTGGAGACGGTGGCCTACCTTGCCGCTGTCGTCATTTTTTAAGAAATTGTTCACGGCTTAAGGTTTGTCGTATACGGTTTTTGTGTAGCCGCATACGGTTTTTGTGTAGCCGCATACGGTTTTTGTGTAGCCGCATACGGTTTTTGTGTAGCCGCATACGGTTTTTGTGTAGCCGCATACGGTTTTTGTGTAGCCGCATACGGTTTTTGTGTAGCCGCATACGGTTTTTGTGTAGCCGCATACGGTTTTTGTGTAGCCGCATACGGTTTTTGTGTAGCCGCATACGGTTTTTGTGTAGCCGCATACGGTTTTTGTGTAGCCGCATACGGTTTTTGTGTAGCCGCATACGGTTTTTGTGTAGCCACATACGGTTTTTGTGTAGCCGCATACGGTTTTTGTGTAGCCGCATACGGTTTTTGTGTAGCCGCATACGGTTTTTGTGTAGCCGCATACGGTTTTTGTGTAGCCGCATACGGTATTGTTTGTACTGTAAGTCTCTTTCTAGGCAGGGCCTTCGTCGCTACCAGTGGAGGGGGCACGGCACGGCACAGCACAGCACGGCATGGGCCGGCACACTAGCGGAGAAAGCGGAGGAGGAATAGCGTAAGCGAATAGTGCAGGCGGTATTCTACCATGCAGCGTACCGGAAAGTGCGCGCTGAGCGCCGTGCGGCGTGCGGTGTGGGGGCATACGCGACCAGGACGGCCAGGCTGGCGGCTTGGTGCGCCTCGAAGAGGAGTCTCAAGGCCTGCCAAAAGCATTTTTCTGCTAAGAGCATTTCTTCCAGCACAGAGCATTTTCCACCAAAAGCATTTCATCCGCGCAAGAGCATTTTCCTGCGAAAAACATTTCTTCCGCTCATCTATTTTTTTTTTTGCCTAGGGCATTTCTCTGTTAACAGCTTTAGTCAGCCAGTTCTTTTGGCAGCAGGATTTCAGCCCTGCGCTCTGAGAGAGACAGATGCAAGCACGAGATGGTCCGCGCGATGCGGCCATCACGTAATTGTTGCACGCGCTGGGCGAAGCAGCGCGGAGGCGCGCGGAGGGCGATGGCCCGAAGGCGCCCGAAGGCGCCCGAAGGCGCCCGAAGGCGCCCGAAGGCGCCCGAAGGCCCGGCCCGAAGGCCTGGAGGTGCACCGTGGACGGCGGCCTCGTCTCCCCCGGCGCGCCGCGGCGCCTCTACACTGTAACGGGCGGTTGGCGCTAGGCCGCGCTAGGCTAGAGCAGAATGGCGAATGCGGCGCCGCAGATGGCGGGGCGTTGCGTGGCGTTGCGTGGCGTCCGCGGACGGCCCGGGGAGGCTGCAGGCAGACTCACTCCGAGCCGGGAGGCTGGGCCCAGCCGAAGGCAGCGAAGGCCCGCCCTCACTTTCCAGCCTTTCAGTCTTCCAGCATTTCAGCCGCTGCAACTATTTAATTATAGTCGCAATCGGCCTCCCCGCCGCCACACCACTCTGCCCCGCGTTATTTAAACACTACACACCGCACGCGCACACACACACACACACACGCTCACAAGGACACGCACAGGTGTCCAGGGGGTCACACGAGGTCCAGGCGTGAGGTGTGAGTACGCCGCTGCATTATGCATCTGCAGCGCTGTGAGTGAAACACGAAACGACCTTTCGAAAAACAAAACGCGTTCGGCGGCGGGGAAGTCCCCCCACCCCCTTCCCCCCTCCGAAAGCGCTAAAGTGCCTTTCTCCCGGTAAGGCCCTTCTGCTTCTTCTTCTCCTTCTTCTTCTTCTTCTTCCGGGTGGGTCCAGCGGCCCGGTCCAACCGCAGCCGCAGCGTCAGCCGGCGTCACCTCAGAGACTCAACTCAGAGACTCAACTCAGAGACGAGTCTCGGAACGCGCCCGTCGTCGTAATGCCCCTCCTCGGGGTCTGTCAATCTTTCGCAGAATCTTTTTCACGCCATTCGTTTCACCTCATCTGTCTGTCTGTCAGTCAGTCGCTCTGTCCGCCTGTTCCTCAAGAGACAAAAAAAACAGCATGTTCGACTGAAACAAAATGCAATGGACCGAGCCTCAGCGCCGTTTAAATGCAGCAGTTTAAAATCCCCCAATGAGAACGTTTTTCAAACGAAACTGTCTATCAGTCTGTCTGTCCGTCCTTCTGTCTGCGCACAGCTTGACCGGCTATCGGTCAGCCCGTCCGTCCCCGGCGTCCACCGGTCGCGCGCCGTCTCTCTCTCTCTCTTGCACGTTGTGCTGGTCGGGGCACACGCCACTTTCGCCGGCACTGGGTGCCCTTCTTGCCCCTCCCCTCCCCCTTTCTCCACCTCCGAGTGCGCCGTGCTGCGCCGTACGCGGTGCGCTGCAGCCTCCAGGCATGGCCGCAGTCAGCCCGAGAGCTCGCGACGGTGAGGCGCCTCCTGGAACGCTGGAAGGCTGGAAGGCAGTGCAGTGACCGTACTGTCGCCGCCAGTGTCAGTGCCGTAGCAGAGTGTCAGCGGCGTGTCAGTCGTTGGCAGCCAGTGTCAGCGGGCAGTGTCAGCGGCACCTCGTGAGGGCCTGACAGAGTGCGAGAGAGTGTCAGTGCGTCAGGCAGGTGCAACGATGACCCCAGTTTAGCGGACTCCGCGGTCAGTGTATCAGTGGCAGCGGTGTCAGTGGTGTCAGCGGTGTCAGCTCGTCATGGCGCACCCCCACACCCACCCGCGGCACTCCGTAGCCGTGGTGCTGCAGTGCTTGTCGGCGTACGCGCGCAGCGCCAAGCCGGCGCGCCTCGCGGCCCTGGTGCCGCCCCTGCCCCGGCCCGTGGTGGAGGTGCTGAGCGCCCTGGCCGACGCCGTGCTCATGCTGGTGCTGGCCGTGTACTACGTGCTCGAGGCGGCCGTCTTCGAGCTGCTGCCCAGGAGGTAGTCCAAGTGGCAACGTGGAGGAAAGCCCACTTCCAAAGCCAGGTTACTCATGTTGCTTCCCTCCGCCGCCAGGTTGACGTCGAAGAGCGTCGACGGCCAGGTGGTGCTGGTGACGGGCGCGGCCGGCGGCCTGGGCAGGCACTTGGCGGCGCGGTTCGCGCGGCTCGGCGCCACCATCGTCGCGTGGGACGTCAACGATGACGGTGAGTGCACTGCACGCAGTCTGCAGACTGGATCATTGAGTCCTCCCCGTCCCCGAGGGAGACAGAGCGACGAATCACTAATCTGGCCGTGCTGATGGTGCTTGCCGACCACAGGCGTGGCGGAGACGGTGCGGCAGGTGCGCGCGGCGGGCGGCCTGGCGCGAGGCTACGTCGTGGACCTGGCCGACCGGCAGGCAGTGTACCGGACGGCGGCGCTGGTCAAGAGGGAGGTCGGCCCGGTGAGTACCTCGTCGACGTCGACGGCCACCCTCGCGTGTCTGCGCATCGACCTCACTGCAGCCCGTTGCAGGTCGACATCCTGGTGAACAACGCGGGGGTGGCGTTCGGCAGGACCTTCATGCACCTGACGGACCGCCAGATCGAGACGACGTACAACGTCAACATCCTGGCGCACTACTGGGTGAGCTTGGCGGCGCGTTGCGAGGCCGGGCGGCAAGTGAATGCTTGGTGCTGCTTGCGGCTAGACGGCCGTCTCGCTGTCTCTGTCGCGCTGCCTCGCGGCCCTCGCGGCCCTCGCCGCACGGGGGGCGTGCCCAACTGTCACGCATGCACCAGTCACCCCGCACTCCGCCCGGCCGTTGCGTCGCTGAAAAACTACAGAGAAAGTGCCTGCACGCGAAAAAAATTCCAATGCTATCGCATTGCACGGTGTTCCGGTTGTGGAAATCAATTTGGAGTCTGTCGTCTAAACGTTAATTACGTTAATTTTACCGTTGTTTACGTAACTTTGAATCCTACTGGTATTTTCACATTCCAAACCTGATTCAGTTAACACAATGGCCATCTCAGGCCATCTCGCGATCTCGCGACTTACAGTGCTCATGTTCGCCAAACGAAAGTCATCTGCGTTCCGAGTTTATATAATTTGTCAAACCAACCGTCGTGCTGATTACAGAATTGAGGAAAACATCACAAGAGAACCGCAACCTTTAAAAGCAAGCCAAACAATCCAACCTCAGCAACAATGGAGGGGCAGTTTCAATGCGCGACTACTCGTTTTTTCAGCCCCGCGATTTTCGAAAGGGCGCAGACGCCGACAAAATTGTTGCCAACCCCCGAAAATTAATTTATTGCGTCTTTTCTGCTACGAACTTTTTACTGACAGACTTCAAAGATGTTCCAATGTCGCGACACGGTGCAATGCGTTAGCATTGGCATTTTCGAATTTCACGGCGTTTCGATTTCTTTTTATCAGCGACTTTAAATTTTGACAGTTGGTACGATGGCACTGTGTCGTTGCCATGGAGACTTTTTTTCATGTTTTAACCATTTTCTTAGAACACAGACGATTTTTTGTCACTTTGATGAGTCAGGATGCTTAGTTTTGGGGAGTAGCACATTTTGTCTTTGAAACGTTTCTGGAAAATGTGAAGGGATAAGGGTGCTTCATTGTTGCAAATTTATGTTTTTGTCGTTTACGTTAAATTCTTACGATAAATTTTCGAAATTTTCAGGAATTTTTATTTTTTTACGATAAGGAATAATTTGGCGGAAACCATTTTTAGATTGGCGTCGGCGGAAGAAAAAAATTTTTCCGTCCCGGGCAATAGGGGTCCTCCTTCGTCGGAACCCCTAAAAAGAATTTCCACCGCCAGTTGGCCAGCGAACTGGGGGACTACCCGCCTTCCCTGTTGTTCCCAATGGCGTTGTGGGCCATTGTGCAACGTTTGCTCTGACTCTGTCCCGCAGACCGCCAAGGCCTTCCTGCCCGAGATGATGCGCGCCAACCGCGGCCACATCGTCACCGTGTCCAGCGTGACGGGGCTCATGGGCTGCTACCGCTGCACCGACTACTCCGCCTCCAAGTTCGCCACCGTCGGCTTCCACGAAAGCCTCTTCACCGAGCTCAAGGTGCGAAAACGCGAAAGCGCGAGAGCCAAACGAAACCTTCCCGCGCTGCAGCCGGCGGCAGCTGGATTCCGAACAGCCCATTGTGGTTCGCGGCGATTTCATCCTCTTCGTTCAGAATGTCCGACGCCATGTTGCAGGTGCAGGGCTACGACGGCATCCACACGACGCTGGTGTGCCCGTACTTCATCGACACGGGCATGTTCGCGGGAGTGAAGCCCAGGTGAGTGCACCCACAGCCAGCCACATCGCCAGGCGTTCAAATCTCCGGAGCCATTGGACCTTGCAGTCCTTGCGGTGGCGCGCGCCAGGAGGACGAGGAGGCCGCCGGGACGGTAGGCAGCCCAGCGCACACGACGCGCTGCTGCGCCCGCGGGCAGGCAGCCCAACCGACGCCAGCCCGACCCGCGCCAAGCAGGCCAAGCAACGCGCTCATTCCGAGAGTCGATTTCGCCGCTCCGTCTCTCTCCCACCTCTACGGCCGACGCCACGAGCGAGAGGAGAGACGGAGCGACGGAAACGACTCTCGGAATGAGTCCGCAGCACGCGGCCTGCACGCGGCGAGCGTCAAATGGGGCGCCAGCGGGATCCCTACACTGTCGGAAACGGGACTCTCGACAGAGCGGCTGTAGTCAAACGCCAACCCTTGTTAATTAGCAGATGATCGGGCCAGCTCGGGCTCGGCGGCGGGCGGTGCAGGCCACAGCTCGGCACGGCTAGTACCAACACCGGCCACCTCGCTCGGGTCTATATATTTTGTTTCATACACAATTTTAATTGCTATCTTTGGAATGAGCCCGCATACTACCCCATATAAGGAAACCGAACGAGTATTGACTGAGAAATTTGAAAGGGAAAAGAAAAAAAATTGAACTCTACACCCCCTCCCCAGTCTTAATGGGGAGGCCTCCTGCTTTACTTCGGTGTTCGGGATGGGAACCGGTGCTATCAGGTACCTGGGGTTAATCCCGTCAGCGACTCTAAGCGTTCGCCGGGGGACCCAGTAGGACCCCAAAGCTCAGGCAGCTGGGTGAGAGCACCCAGTACGAAGCTCTTAGAGGGGCGGGACGTAGAGTGAGACGACAGAGAGACAGAGAGAGACTCAGACAGAGAAGAGGTTTGGTGGGAGCTTCTTGTTTTCGTAGGGTTGGTTGTGTACCCCATGGTACCCCCACTGTCCGGCGCTCCCGTACCGAACATACAGCGTTTTAGGCCAGCTTCAAAGGACTTATCATCGCCTCCCCGACAAGTCAAGGAGGCACCACCCGCAACCACACACCGGGTGGTCTGGATTGATGGATCAAATACGCCATCGCTCCAGTGCCGAGGCCAACCCGCCGAAGCGGATTGCTTTTTAGACACCCACAGCGGAGTGGCCAGGTGAATGTGACTCTGACCACTACGCTATCACGCTTGTACGTCTGGCAGCGTGTTGGACGACGGGTTTGAGTTGCACTGGGAGGAAGGCGGTCGAAAAATGTAATGAAATGATGGGATTCGGTCCCCAGACCCCGTTATCGGGATCACACGACTTTACGCTCTCGGCCACCACGGCCCATGATGAGGGATCGGCGTGAGGTGGGTTCTTGACGCAACAGGACTCGACCGACCCGGTCAAAATTTCGCAAGAAGTTGGGGGAGTCGAACCGCCGACCCCAGCACTGAGAACCGACGCCTCTACTCCCTGGACCACCACGTCCCATGCTCGGAGTGGGCTCACGTTTACGGGTTTCAACCGCACTGGGTGAGGCAGTAAAATTAAATGGAAATATTTGTTAGGAGTCGAACCTCCGTCATGTGGGCCTGTTGCACACGGCTCCGCTCTGATGGCCTCGAACCACCACCCTTAGGATAGCAAGTCGAAAAAACTTTTGTGACGCTGGTATTCGAACGCCGGCCTGCGGTAACTCGATCCCACGTCTCTAACCTCTCGGCTATCACAGCAGTTGTGAACCACGATGGATCATCTGCTTTCATTAACGTTCGTCGAATGAGATTTTTTTTCTCAATTTTTGTTGTGCGCTGCGCTGCGCTGCGCCCAGGTTGATGCCCATGCTGGAGCCAGCGCGCGCCGCGGACGACATCGTGGACGCCGTGAGGACGAACCAGGTGACGGTCACGCTGCCCGGCTCCATCCGCTACCTGCTGCCGCTTAAGAGGTAACGTTCGGTTCGATTCCTGATTACCTCCACCGGTCTTCTGGCCCACTGTGCGCCGCCGCTCTGTTTCGCCCATGATCACCCCCTCTCTGCTTCCAGCCTGTTCCCGTCCAAGCTGAGCTGGGCCCTCATGTACCGCATGATGCAGGGCCCGCAGGCCATGATGGGCATGAAGCCGCGGCTGTGAGCGAGCCCCGGGGAAGGGAACCCAGGGAACCAAGGCAACCCCCTCCCCCAGAGAGTCGCCCTCAGGGCCGCAGGTGAGTTGACGACGCGGTGCCCTCGTCGCGCTGTCTCCCTCGCACTCACGGTGTGTGCCGTCGAGGTGCGACAGAGACGGAGTGGCCGCTCGTTCTGCAGGACGGCCCCAGGACGGCCCCAGGACCTTGGCGGGGGAGCGGCGCGGGGAAGGACCGCCGCGGGGCGTGGCCCCGGCCCACGCGGCGCTGTGTACGCCTGTACAGTGTGCGCGCCGGCCGAGGCAGGCCGAGGTGAAGCCCCTCGCCGCCCTTGCCCAAAGCGGGCGCCGCGTCGGGGAGTCGAACCCGAGACCCGGGCGACTCTTCTCACTCTCCGACTGACTGATCGTTGCGATTCGTTCCCATTGCAGGCCCCGCTTGCCCTTGCCCTGCCCGTCCCCGGAGCCCGGAGCCAAAGACTGCCGGAGGACTTGGAGAGCCGCGTCGCCGTCTTCGCCCCTACACTGCCCTGCACTCGCAAACCTTGCAACGCGCAGCGGCCGCTTTGTTCGACTCGCGATTTGGCAGTGCCGTGGCGCCGTGGCTCGCCGCGCGCATTGTTGCACACAGTGTGGTGTCGGCCCGGCCTCATTGTCGCGCGAGAAAGCTTTTCGCCCCTCTTTTTGCGAGTGCCGCGTCCGACCAGGAAAGGGCAGAGGGGGTGGGTGAGGGGAGCGGAGGGGGCGGGGCGGGGGCTGTGGGCCGAAGATCCGACTGCACCTTGGGGGAGGGGGCGGGGGTAGCTATGTGGCTATTCCTGCGCCAAGCTGCGCCAAGCTGCGCCAAGCCCAACAGGCCCTGCTTGCCCTGCTCCTAGCGCGCCACCGCGGTACGCCTCACCCCGCCCCGCCCCGCCCCGCCCCCCCGGCGCAGTCCCCCTCCACCCTAATTTATTTCTAGGACTACGCGTACGCCGTGAGAGCCTACCGCCTCTGAGCCTGTACGCAACCCCCCTCCTGCCCCTGCTACCCCCTCCCCCTCTCTCCCGCCTTGCCCGAGTGCCGCCAATTGCCCGGTACGGTTTGAAGTTGGCGGCACTGCGACCGCCGCACAGTGGGCCAGAAGACCGGTGCGGCGGCCAAAACTCCAGAGTCGCTTAACAGGACTCGAGTCGAACGTGTGACCCCAACAATGGATTCCTCGTTCGGAGAGCAATCCACTGGTGGGGTCACACGCTCGGTTCGAGTCCTGTTTAGCGACTCTAGAGCTCAAAACGCGTCTGGAGTTTTTGCCGCCAGCGCCGGTCTTCTGGCCCACTGTGCGGCAGGCATGCCACCGGGCTTTAGCGAAATAAAATGAAGCAGGGTGTTGGCTGCACTGCGCCGTCCCCGCGGACTCATTCCCAGAGTCGTTCTCGTCGCTCCGTCTCTCTCGCACCTATTCGCGGCGCCCCATGAGTGCGAGAGAGACGGAGGGCGAGAACGAATCTCGGAATCCGTCTGCTGGGGGCCGACTCTGGACACGGGGAGAGCAAACGATGTTAGCAAATGATTCACGCCGCACTGAAAATGATTCCTAACGAACGGGTGTCGTAGTCGGTAAGCTGTGAAATTAAAATTAAAAGTAAGAAAGTTCTGTAGAACTGGGATGTTGTAGTCATCTTATCTTAGCAGTATTATTGTAGTAGAACGTATTTATTCATTTACTGACGAATGTCGAAGTGTTTGCATGTTCCCAAAGGAATAAAATTTGATTTATGACTCGATGCCGGACGCCTTGTTATTTGATACCTGCTTACCGCGTTGTCGGTAATATCCATTTCACTTTGTCAAAGCAAACAATGCCAGCTCCTCATTTCCCGTCCTTTTTCCCTTTCAATTTTACAGTAATTTCAAAACACGTTTTCCAAACAGTGCACCTTGCTTCTACTGACCCTTTCACACACACCTTTGTCCTTCCCCCACCCCCACCTCTCTGGGATTGGCACAGCTGATTTGCGCCTGCCAAAAAATTAAGGGGGCCGAAAACATACACGCACGAAAAATAAAAGCCAAACAGAGGAAAACAGGATGAAAAGGAAGGTCGATGACTTAACAGGAGTCTCCAGGTCGGCCGCCGGCCGTGCCTCCGCGCGGGGAGCCGATGCAGACCGAAATGAAAATCGCGATTTCTCGCAAACGGCTGGCCCAAAAAATTTCAAACTTGGTAGAGAGACTGCTAATAGACCAGGCCCGCCTCCGGTCGGGTCAAATCCGGTCCGACATTGCCTGTTTGCCTACTGGCGTGATCGGCTCGAAAAACGGAGACCGCCGTATCTCGGCTCCTGGGCACGATATCGAAAATCGGGCTTCTCGGCGTTGTAGTCCAACTCGTCCCCTGCCGCCTCTCCAAATTTCAAGTCAAAATCTTGAACGGTGTGGCCGTAATTTGGGAAACGCCGAGACGAAAAACGCGACTTTTCGGCGACTGGCGTGGCGAAGGCAGGCTGGAGGCAGGCAAACAGGCCTGATCAAGGGACCGGCCCCCGAAGTGCCCCCGCCACACCTCCCCCGCCCCGCCCGCCCTGCACTGCACTGCCAGACTGCCATTGTAATGCGCCCGGCCGTCTGAGGCTCGCGCCTGCCTGGCTGCCGGGGTGCATCCACGCTACCTGCTCTAGCAGTGTCTCCGTCGCACTTGCAGTGACAGACGGCACAGACAAAGAAAGTAGCTGTCGACGTCTGGGATGGCTATGCGGACGCCACCTTTGGCTCCGGCGAAGAGGCGCGGTGCGGTCCCAGCCGATTCCGAGCCAGCCGGCGGCAAGGCAGAAAAGTTCATCAGAAACTGGCTTAAAATGACACGTTTTTCAACATTGGTACCAATATGCGTTTCGAAGCGCGCTGATCAATTCTATACCCATGAAAATTGTTAAATGATTTATTGTCAAAATTGTCCTAGCAATTTCTCGTTTACACGCAACTTCCTAGTTTTTCGAGCTGATTCCGCCACTATCCGTAAAATATCAACTTTCCGAAAATTTCAAAATTTTACATCCGCTCCAAATCCCTTTTGTTTGGCCTGAATGGGGCTGGGTTGGGCTGGGCAGGCGGGGCCACATGCCTGGCTCCGACCCTCGAGCAGGTATATTGCCATCGCCAAACAAAAGGAACTTGGAGCGGATGTAAAATTTTGAAATTTTCGGAAAGTTGATATTTTACGGATAGTGGCGGAATCAGCTCGAAAAACTAGGAAGTTGCGTGTAAACGAGAAATTGCTAGGACAATTTTGACAATAAATCATTTAACAATTTTCATGGGTATAGAATTGATCAGCGCGCTTCGAAACGCATATTGGTACCAATGTTGAAAAACGTGTCATTTTAAGCCAGTTTCTGATGAACTTTTCTGCCTTGCCGCCGGCTGGCTCGGAATCGGCTGGGACCGCACCGCGCCTCTTCGCCGGAGCCAAAGGTGGCGTCCGCATAGCCATCCCAGACGTCGACAGCTACTTTCTTTGTCTGTGCCGTCTGTCACTGCAAGTGCGACGGAGACACTGCTAGAGCAGGTAGCGTGGATGCACCCCGGCAGCCAGGCAGGCGCGAGCCTCAGACGGCCGGGCGCATTACAATGGCAGTCTGGCAGTGCAGTGCAGGGCGGGCGGGGCGGGGGAGGTGTGGTGGGGGCACTTCGGGGGCCGGTCCCTTGATCAGGCCTGTTTGCCTGCCTCCAGCCTGCCTTCGCCACGCCAGTCGCCGAAAAGTCGCGTTTTTCGTCTCGGCGTTTCCCAAATTACGGCCACACCGTTCAGGATTTTGACTTCAAATTTGGAGAGGCGGCTGGGAACGAGTTGGACTACAACGCCGAGAAGCCCGATTTTCGATATCGTACCCAGGAGCCGAGATACGGCGGTCTCCGTTTTTCGAGCCGATCACGCCAGTAGGCAAACAGGCAATGTCGGACCGGATTTGACCGGACCGGGGGCGGGCCTGGTCTATTCCTAGTCTCTGTACCAAGTTTGAAATTTTTTGGCCAAGCCGTTTTCGAGAAATTGCGATTTTCGTTTCGGTCTGCATCGGCTCCGCGCGCCGAGGCACGGCCGGCGCCCGACCTGGAGTCTCCTGTTAATTCCTCTCTCACTCAATCATACAAAATAAATGAGTTCATCAGTAAATTGACAAGCCGATCGTGAAAAGCACTTCCAAATACACGTTCGCACGCACACAATTTTTTTTTTTTTTTGACGCTTTGTAACTCTACCCCGAATCTCGGACAATTATTTGAACGCTTGTCCAATGCCGCCCCCGCCGGCCGGCCGGCCGCAGGGCGTGCTAGACAGCGAGGGCCGATCTCTGTGGCGGCGGTGCGCGCGGGAGCGAGAGAGAGGGCGCGCGCGTGGCCGGGCGTGGCGCGGGGGGAGCGTCCGCGGACATATATGGGTTGGGCGGGGCGGGGCGCGGCGCGCCGCCGCTTCCCTCGCTGAGGAGACCTCGGCGTCTGCGAACCCCCGCCCCGCCCCGCCCCGCCCCGCCCGACGCCGCCCCGCCCCGCCCTCCCCGCCGCCCCGCGCCGCCGCTCAGAGCCCCACCGCGCCGCGCCGCCCCCGCGCCCCCACGCCCCCCGGCCGGGGGCCAGAGCGTTTCCCTTGTTGGGGGGCGTTCCCAGGGCAGAAACCGGGGGCGCGCCGCGGTGGCGGCGGGGCGGGGGCGGGGCGGGGGGCGGTGGGGGCGGCACCCGTATTCTCGGCACAAGATATAGATAGGTGGCGCGCCTCCCGGAGCTCACTCGTTGCCAGTCCACCGCTTGGGGTGCTTTGTGGTGTTTCCGTACCGACCAGGGTGGGTACAGTGTAGTGCCACGCAGTGACAGTGTTGTGACGAGTTCCTGACGTGTCGGCGTTGACGCCTTGGTGACGACCGGGTTGACAGCGCGGTGTTGTGACGGCCGCCACCCTCTTGGCGGGGACTTCTACCTGGCGAGCGACCGTCTTCGCGTCGCCAGGGCTCGCGGCCCGGAGTCCCCACCCCGCCCCGCGCCAGTGCAGTGCCGCGGTGTCGAGTTGCCCACAATCAGTGGATAGTGGATCGAACAGTGCTCCAGTGCAGTGACGGTGCGACGGGCAGGCGGCGGTGCAGCACTGCAGCGAGGGCACCCGTCCCCGACAGGGCGGCATGCGGACCGCCTACCCAGCTATTGACTGCTGGACAGCTATGGACAGCGCGGCTCCAGTGCTGCCACTCAAGAAGGCAGAGAAACAAAATCTCACGATCCACTAGTGTTTAAAGGGCTGACGGCCTCAGCTTGCCTGCCAGGAACGAAGTGAGCTTTGCTCTTGTGGAGTTGCCCGGTAGGCAGGCGGAGGTTGGCAACCCTGTCGACAGTGGCACCTGAGGCGATTTTTTGCCTACTTGTGTGGCAGCAGTGAGCCGCCTGCCGGGTAGGCAGTCCCGCCGACGAGGAGACCGCAGAAACGCCGCGGGGCTTATTTTTAACTTGGACGCGTGGGCTGAGATGCGGGTGGGCGCGGCAGCGCGGCAGCCCCTAAATTCGTGACGTGTCTGCCGAATGCAGCGTCGGGCGGGCCGGAGGACTTTGCGGGAATAGTTGGGAATAGCTCCAGGAGAACATCAAGCCTCCTTCTCAAACAAAAAAAAAAAAAAAAAAACAGCTCGATGGAAAATTCAGTTTGAACTTGTTGAAATGGAGACGCGGAAACTTGAACGCTGCGCGCGCCGCGGATGGCGTTCTCAGGCCGACGGTTGGATTGGATCACATCCGTTCAAATATTTACAGTCTTGCAAAAGCAAACCACTTAACGCAGCCCTAATTTTAATTAATTTTTTGGTTGAAAAACTTGCCATAATAGACTTATTATTATTATTGCCGAGGCAGGATTTGCATTAGACAAATTTCCCACGGATATCGTTACGAAAACTAACCGTCACAAGGTGCAACAAAAGTGCTCAAAACCGAGGAAAACTGCAAAACTAACGGAAAAATTTCGTTTTGTGTTACAGCTAAAAACAAACCGCCAAGATGTGTGACGACGATGTTGCGGCCCTCGTTGTTGACAACGGCTCCGGCATGTGCAAGGCCGGCTTCGCCGGAGACGACGCTCCCCGCGCCGTCTTCCCATCCATCGTCGGTCGCCCCCGCCACCAGGGTGTGATGGTCGGTATGGGACAGAAGGACAGCTACGTCGGTGATGAGGCCCAGTCCAAGAGAGGTATCCTCACCCTCAAGTACCCCATTGAGCACGGTATCATCACCAACTGGGATGACATGGAGAAGATCTGGCACCACACCTTCTACAATGAACTCCGCGTTGCCCCCGAGGAGCACCCCGTCCTGCTCACTGAGGCTCCCCTCAACCCCAAGGCTAACCGTGAAAAGATGACCCAGATCATGTTTGAGACCTTCAACTGCCCCGCCATGTACGTCGCCATCCAGGCCGTGCTGTCCCTGTACGCCTCCGGTCGTACCACCGGTATCGTCCTGGACTCTGGTGACGGTGTCTCCCACACTGTCCCCATCTATGAAGGTGCGTTCAATACGAAGAAAGCTATTGGAACTTATTAAGTGTTTTGAACACTGTCTGACCGAGAGTTTTCTTTTGTCATGTTCCAGGTTATGCCCTGCCCCACGCCATCCTCCGTCTGGATCTGGCTGGTCGCGATCTTACCGACTACCTGATGAAGATCCTGACTGAGCGTGGTTACAGCTTCGTCACCACCGGTACGTACGAAATGCCATTTAAGCGTCGTTTTGGAGTACCTACTATCTTGGCGTCGTCCAGGACGCAGTCACCTTTGACGTTTTACTGACGATTCGTGTTTTGTTCGTGTACAGCTGAGCGTGAAATCGTTCGTGACATCAAGGAGAAGCTCTGCTACGTCGCCCTGGACTTCGAGCAGGAAATGGCCACCGCCGCCGCCTCCACCTCCCTCGAGAAGTCCTACGAGCTTCCCGACGGTCAGGTCATCACCATCGGTAACGAGAGGTTCCGCGCCCCCGAGTCCCTGTTCCAGCCTTCCTTCGTGGGCATGGAATCCTGCGGTATCCACGAGACCGTCTACAACTCCATCATGAAGTGCGACGTCGACATCCGTAAGGACCTGTACGCCAACAACGTCCTGTCCGGTGGTACCACCATGTACCCCGGTATCGCCGACAGGATGCAGAAGGAAATCACCGCCCTGGCTCCCTCCACCATCAAGATCAAGATCATCGCTCCCCCCGAAAGGAAGTACTCCGTATGGATCGGTGGTTCCATCCTGGCCTCCCTGTCCACCTTCCAGTCCATGTGGATCTCCAAGCAGGAGTACGACGAGTCCGGACCCGGCATCGTCCACCGCAAGTGCTTCTAAATATTTTATATGCAATTATGTATATTGTGGGTTGGGTGGTAACATCAATAAGGCAACGAGGAAGACAACACCAGAAAAGCAATTTCTATTCAAAGTTTTATCCGATTTCCCGGTAATTATGTTTCGGCTCTGTCATTTCGTACACATTTTATTCTTATGTTTTGTACTGACTGAAATGTTGTAATATGTTAATAAATTTTATTTATTTTTTTGTTATACCCATAATCCTTTTTAAATTTCACTCACCTCCATTCTCTGAATAACACAAAAATAGTACCAGACTTTTAAACTCCGTATGGTCTTTCAGCGGTTTTCAGTCGAGCATAAATGGGACGAAAGTAAAAGCAGCTCTCGAGGAACCAACAATTGAATCGAGATCGCGTATCTGCCGCTGTGGGGGACCTGCATTCAAACCCAGCCGGCTCGATGCCCACCCAGGGATTCCCGGCGGCGTCGCGTCGGCGCTGCGTTTTTCACTGCGGTTATTTTTGCCGCTTCTCGTCGATACGCTCCTGTTTCTTGAAAAGCCTTGGGGTCGGCCGGCCGGGCCGGGCCGGCAGCAGTTATTCGTGTTGGTCAAAGTACCGCCCCGCGCCGTGCCGCCGTGCCCGCCGCGCGCCGCCCCGCTTCGCCCCGCCCTACGACGGCGCGCTCCCTAAATAGTTGGGGCTTTGGACCGCGGCGCGGCGTGGCGGGGTAGCCCGCCGCCTAAAGGGTCGTTTCGTCGCTCTGTCTCTCTCGCACTCGCGGGGCGCCCCCATGGGTGCGAGAGAGACAGAGCGACGACCCTTCGGACTCGGTCTGCTGGCGCCCGCCAGGAACGCGTCAGGCATCGCCTCGCCGACGAAAGAATCCCCAGCACCTGTAAAGGCGCCGCGTCTCCACACTGCAAAAAACTACGTTTCAAAACATGATTGGGCTTCTGCAAGAAGGACCTCCTGCAATGCAGCGCCGAAACAAAACAAAAACTTCGTTCCCCTCCGGGAAAATGAACTGGAGCGCAATCTTTGCACATTCAGACAAAGAGACGCACGCACACAGTCAGGCGCACAAACGCTCCGACGTGCGCACACAGTGTACACACAGACGCGCGTGAGAGGGCGCGCGGCGGGGCGGGACCACGAGGAGCGCGACGCGGAGCGTGACGCGGAGCCCCTGCGAGGCGGGCCGTCCCGTCAGACGCAGCGTCGCAGCGTGTTGCCTACCCCCATTACCATTGCCACTACGGGCTAGACCACAACTGATCGTACGCCGTTTCGGGCAGGCGGTCTGTCTCTCACTCACTCCGTCTGTGTCTGTCTCTTTCTCTCCACCGACCGCGCCCTCTATTCCTGTCTCTCCCCACTGTGTCGCTCTGTCTCTCTCGCACTCATGGGGCGTCCAGTAGGGCCGCGAGAGAGGCAGGGCAACGAGGTGCTGTCCCTCTTGCACCCATGCGGCGTCCCGTATGGGTGCGACAGAGAGACAGAGCGACGCAAACGACTCTCAGTCTGCAGCCAGGGGAAGAGCCTTTGCCTTCGTCGGCAGTTCGAGACGGGGTGAGAAATCGGAGTGTTTACTTTCTGGGCCGCGACGCCGCGACGCGGGGCAGGCGTCCTCTGACCCACTTCGGCCACGGCGGCCACTTCCCGCTTCCCGCCGCGGCAAATCGCTGCCCTCGTGAATGGGGAGGACAACGGCCTGGGATCGGCCGCGATGGCGCGCCGCTGCGCCGCACCGGCATTCCGAGAGTCGTTTTCGTCGCTCTGCCTCCCTCGCACCTGTACGGGGCGCCCCACGAGTGCGAGAGAGACAGAGCGACGGAAACGACTCTCAGTCTGCATCGCCAAAAACGCACTTTTCCTGAGAGGGGCGTCGTCGGGTGCAGGCAGTGCCGGCAGTGCAGTCGGAGAGACAGGGAAAGCGGGCCGAAGGGAGCGAGGCGAAGTCGGGTCCTTTTTACGGTACGCTCGGGGGGCTCGGGTGAGGGGGGGGGGGCGCGCGGCGGAGGCAGGGGCGGGGCGCGCTCTCTCCCACGCCCTTCGGGGAGGGGGCACAACAAGTGGGGGGCCCTGCCCTTCTTTGGAGCGTGGGGCGCGGCAGAGGCGGCAGGGGCGGCCGCGAGGGGGGCTCGGGGGCCCGTCCCGGCGGCGGGGCGCGGGGCGGGGCGAGGGGCGGCGGGGGCGCCTTAGGGGGCGGTAGAGCCGAAGCTATACATAGTGGAGCTGACCCTTCAGCACCTCAGTCACACGCTAGTCGAGGACTCGAACGGCCCGGAGCTTTTCAAGGTGCGTTCCCAGTCTGTGTCCCAGTGTGCATCCGCCCCCGACCCCAGTGCGACCGTCCGCCCCCCGTTCCGCGGCAGTGGTAGTGGCAGTGGTAGTGGCAGTGAAAGTGCACGAGTGTTGGATACGCGAGTACGGATACGTCGCCTGCAGCCTGCGAGGACTTTGCCGAGGCCCTGGGGATTTATCGGCCGTCGGCGAGGTGGTCCTCCAGGGGCTGCCAGCAGCAGCCCACGCCAGCTGGGACCAGCGCCGGCAGCAAACGGATTCGAGCACCGCTCTCGTCGGTCTATCTCTCTCGCACTCAGGGGGCGCCCCATAGGGGTCCACAGACTGGCGACAGCGGTGCTCGGAATCAGTCCCAAGGCGAGGCAGGCAGCCCCTGGACCGCATCCCCCTGGACGGCGAGAGCCTCGGTGACCGGCACCAGGCCTGCGGACGCACCGCGCCGCGCCACCACGCCGCCACGCCGCCACGTGTGCACGACACTAGCCGCGGCCGCGTGTCGGAAATAGAAAACTTTCGGGGAAAGAAAAATAGCTCGCGAGCCGAGCCGGGCCGGGCCGAGCCTGGCGCGGCGTGGCGGCGCGGCGCTCGGCGTGCCTAGCCGCGTGCGCGACGCACGAGGTGGAAGGTGGCGCCAGCGACGTGGGCCCGAACCAACGCGCAGCCAAGCCGACAAAGTGGGACGCGGAGGGAGGAGTCGAACCAGGCTCCCTCGGGTCTAGAGACGACCACGTTTTGTTGGTCAGCGCGCGCTGTGCACGACTGGTGCACGATAAGGACCTAAAAACATAAATAAATTTAAAAAAAAAAAAAGACATCAAAAAATAAGGCAAAACCGCGTTAAAACGGCAGGCAACCAAATGTGGGTGAAGGTTGCGTCGTCACAGCAAAAGTTTATTCAGGGACAAAATGCTGTAGATCGTGACATGACTTATATCAATTTAGAGCGACTTCCGTAAAAGTACGCTTCCTCCGCACGGACGCTGAGCTGTGCACACAATTTAATTATTTCTTGTCCTCAAAAAGCGCGTAACTAATCTTCGACATCTTTTTTTGTCCCTGCAGCTACCCCAAGTACAAACAAACCAGCCAAGATGTGTGACGACGATGTTGCGGCCCTCGTTGTTGACAACGGCTCCGGCATGTGCAAGGCCGGCTTCGCCGGAGACGACGCTCCCCGCGCCGTCTTCCCATCCATCGTCGGTCGCCCCCGCCACCAGGGTGTGATGGTCGGTATGGGACAGAAGGACAGCTACGTCGGTGATGAGGCCCAGTCCAAGAGAGGTATCCTCACCCTCAAGTACCCCATTGAGCACGGTATCATCACTAACTGGGATGACATGGAGAAGATCTGGCACCACACCTTCTACAATGAACTCCGCGTTGCCCCCGAGGAGCACCCCATCCTGCTCACTGAGGCTCCCCTCAACCCCAAGGCTAACCGTGAAAAGATGACCCAGATCATGTTTGAGACCTTCAACTGCCCCGCCATGTACGTCGCCATCCAGGCCGTGCTCTCCCTGTACGCCTCCGGTCGTACCACCGGTATCGTCCTGGACTCTGGTGACGGTGTCTCCCACACTGTCCCCATCTATGAAGGTGCGTTCAAAACGATTAAAGCTATTGACACTTATTAAGTTTTTTGAATATTGTCTGACCGAGAGTTTCCTTTTGTCATGTTCCAGGTTATGCCCTGCCCCACGCCATCCTCCGTCTGGATCTGGCTGGTCGCGATCTTACCGACTACCTGATGAAGATCCTGACTGAGCGTGGTTACAGCTTTGTCACCACCGGTACGTACGAAACGCCATTTTAGCGTCGTTTTGGAGTACCCACTATCTTGGCGTCGTCCAGGCCGCCGTCACCTTTGTCGTTTTACTGACGATTCGTGTTTTGTTGACGTGTACAGCTGAGCGTGAAATCGTTCGTGACATCAAGGAGAAGCTGTGCTACGTCGCCCTGGACTTCGAGCAGGAAATGGCCACCGCTGCCGCCTCCACCTCCCTCGAGAAGTCCTACGAGCTTCCCGACGGTCAGGTCATCACCATCGGTAACGAGAGGTTCCGCGCCCCCGAGTCCCTGTTCCAGCCTTCCTTCGTGGGCATGGAATCCTGCGGTATCCACGAGACCGTCTACAACTCCATCATGAAGTGCGACGTCGACATCCGTAAGGACCTGTACGCCAACAACGTCCTGTCCGGTGGTACCACCATGTACCCCGGTATCGCCGACAGGATGCAGAAGGAAATCACCGCCCTGGCTCCCTCCACCATCAAGATCAAGATCATCGCTCCCCCCGAAAGGAAGTACTCCGTATGGATCGGTGGTTCCATCCTGGCCTCCCTGTCCACTTTCCAGTCCATGTGGATCTCCAAGGAGGAGTACGACGAGTCCGGACCCGGCATCGTCCACCGCAAGTGCTTCTAAAGTGTTTGTTTCCATCTTTACCCAGAAAGGACTGGTTTGCATCACGTGGACCTGGCGTACCTCTTGGGGTTGCTGTTTTGCTATTGGCCCTCCTAGCTACGCGCTAGGTCGGCGCCATGTCGGTGTGGCATGTATCATCATCATGAATCTCTGCCTACTGTTGTCATCCACAAAAGTAGGTCAAGTGTTCTCGACGCATTGTGTAATAAAAACTATCATTCATCATTCACGAAAAAGGCTGTTCCTCTGAATAAACATCTTTGTTATAACTCTGTGGTTGTCATTGAAGCGAGACTGCACTTCGAAGCGTGAATGGCGGTAGGCCGGGAGTTGGCGGGCAATCCGTCGTCGCCCACCTATAACAACACCACAACACATGAAAAACGGGACACAGTAGGAAAGTCACAGGGCTGCGGACAGTGGGGTGACATGTTTGGTTCGCGTTCTGTTTGGCGACTCTGGAACTCAAACCGCGTAGGGTTTTGGCCGCCTGTGCCGGCCTTCTGGCCCACTGCGCGGCCCTGGCAGCGGCCCGGGCGCCGCGCAACGCCATGGTCAGGGTTATTGTCCACCGCGAGCTTGGCGGGGCCGGCGGGGCTGGCAGGCACTGGCAGGGGTACCAACCCCCCACCTCGCCGTCGGCGGCGGCCTGGCCCGGTCCGCGGACCCCTTTTAAGGACCGCCCTCCTAAAAATATACGCGCGGTGCACGGCGGCGTTTCGGGGAACGGCGAGAGCCTGCGCTGCCTCGGCGGGGAAGGCGCCGTCCGTTAGCCGGCAGGGCGAGCGCCACGGCCTCCAAGGGCTGGGGCGTGTTGCGGCAGCGACGAGCCCGGACGGGCCTTTGGCCGCCATTGGCGAAAAGGCAAGGGTTCCCCTTGTAGACGGAGAGCCGATTTCGTCGCTCTGTCTCTCTCACACTCGGTGGGCGTTCCGTATGGGTGCGAGAGAGACAGAGCGACGAAAGCGACGCTCGGCCTCAGTATGCTGGGGCAAGGGGGCACAATAGCAGACCGAAGGCGCATCCGCGCGTATCAGCACATCAACAGGGCGACAAAGATGATGGACAGCAACACACCGTCTGTCTACCCCACCCCGATGGCGGGGTAGGGGTGGTGGAGAGGGCAGAAGGGCGCTCCGCAAGTTCATGAACAATCACACACACACACACACGTGCGCACGCGTGCCACTTCCGGCCCATCCCGTTGCACACTCTGCCTCAGTGAAAGCGAAATGAGAGTGGTGCCCCCCCCCCCCCCCCCTCAGTTTCCGAGGGAGGGAGAGCAACGACACTCGGCCTTCCCTCAAGACTGGGCGGGGCGGGGCGGGGTGGGGGTGGCAATGACGGGCTCACCCCGCCTCCCCACCACGGAAGGGGCTCTATATACGGCTGGGCCGCCGCTGCAGCGGGAAGGGGCGGGGCGGGGCGTGGCGGGGCGGGCATTAGTATTGCTCATTCCACTCAAAAGTCAACAAAGGATTAGTCAATGGATGAACCCCCCTTTGCTGAACGGTGATTTTGTCCACCAGGTTTTTCTGCCGCGCCGTTTTCGCGCGCGTTTTTCTGCGGTGCATTTCACCCGTGTCACCGGCATGATTCGGTTCGGTGACATCATCAACCCGCCGCGACAGTTGCCGGTTTCGGACCCGCGAGGGGTCCTGGCGGCGGCGGCGGTCCGCGGGGCTGTCAGAGAGTCGCCCTCGCTCCGTCTCTCTCGCACCTACACGGGACGCCCCGTGAGTGCGAGAGAGACAGGCCGTCGGGATGAGTGCGGTGACGTGTTCCGCGCATGAGTAAGCCGGCGGGGATGCCGCCTACTGTCGTCGTGCCGAGGAAGTGACGCCGCCGCCGCGCCGCTCGAGGGCCAAGACTCGGCCGCGATGCCTCGCAAGTCAAGTCTCACGGGCCGGCAATGCGGCGCACACCCACGCACGCACGGCCCTTGCCGATTCAGCGATTTAGCGTGCAGTGCTCCTTGCCCAGAAACTGAAATCCGTTCCCGAGGCCAAGTCGAAGTGACGTGGCGCCGCCTTGAGCTTGAAGGCATTATGCCAAGAAATCGCCGCCGCGGCGGCCAAGAATCGCGTAAGAAGGCCTTGCAGTGCCGGGCGCTGCCGGGCGGGCGCTGCCTTGCAAGGGGTTGGCGCGTTGGCCGCGGCGTCCCGCCTTGCTTCCACCATTCCTACTCATTTGTCAACGTTTTCTGTGGCTGACTTTGTGGCAACACTGCTCATAGAAAATGTGTGAAAAGTTCGCACATCCTGCTCCAAAAATCTACTGTTTGAACGCCGCGCCGGCTTCTGACAGTGGATGCCCCACTCCCCCGCCCGCCGCGCTCCACCGCGCCCCCACCACCCCTCACCGCCCCGCAGTCCGAACCGATCGTCAGTCGAAGGTACACACTCAGTACAGAGGGGGCTTCAGCTCCCTTCTTTGGGTGTCGATTATTTGTAGCCCCCCGTCGAGGCCCTGGGGGTGGTGGCGTGGTGGGGCGCGGTGGGGCCCCGGGGTCGAAGGTGCCCCCGCCCCCTGCGCTTCCCTCCGAAGGAGGCTATACATAGCGGGGCGCACGCCGGCGCTCAGTCGCAGACAGACGCCGAAGACAGGACCAACAACAGCAACTCAGGCGCCACTGCCAACTAACTGCATCTCTCAGGGTACGCCGTGCGGCCGTGCGCCAGTGTGTGGAGCTTGTGCAAGTGACCGCGGTGCGACCAGCGTGGAGCAGGGAACCGAGGGAACGCACCCCGGACGGTCCGACGCGAGTGGGGCTCCGCCGAGTGGGGCAGTTTCGTGTGCCAAGTGACAAAAGTGAGCCAAGTGCAGTGAGCCATCGCGGCGGCAGCGGCGACAGCGGCGACGCGAGTGGAAAGTGAGGTTAGGTCGGCCGAGGGGGCGTGGCGCGCGCCGGCCGGCCCGCCGCGCCAGCCGCGCAGTGCTGCCAACCCCGTGCTTCTTGTGTCCAAAGTGTAACTGTCGACACCGGTCGACACGAACTGGAAAGGTTTTTGTTTCCGAGTTGATTTCTAACCGTTGAGTATGATAAGTTCGAAGAAATTGTGTTTAAGGGATATTTATCGCTGTAGGTGCAGTGAGGGGAGGAGGGGAGATGGGGAAGGGGCGCGGGAGGGTTAAAGGAATGCAGCTGAGTGATTTATGTTCGAAATTTTGAAACTAAGAGGGGTAAAGAAATTGTCTAAAATTGGCCACGTTAGAGTTCCACCGTGCGTTGAACTCTCGTGCTTGTTCGCGGGGGGAAGTCCCTTCCGTCTTTTCTGTATTTCATTGTTTTAGAAGGAAGCAGTTCTCCGGTCAACTGAATCGCAGGGTTAAACGCCGTGAAGCGTTTTGGCTATACCGCGGAGGAGCCCGAGAGCGGCATTGGTAGGCAAAGCACGTAATGCAACGATGCAAGTAAGGTCTGCCCTATTCTAGGCAAGAACTTGACAATCATTTGCCAAAGTCAGCAGGCTCAGGCAGGCAACCACTTGACACTGCATCACCAGGGGCCAGTTTCGGCAAGCCGATGGGGGAGCAATTTCCGTGCACTGTCCCCCCCCCCCCCCTTGTTCATTCCCCACACTCAAAGCCATAAATGGTAGTGCGCGATCCAGCTGCTCCCCCCCACTCCCTCTGCATTGCCCTACGTGGCTCTAAATTTAAAGGCACGCCCGTCCGATCGAAGTATTTTTAGACTCTGCGGTTTGGTTCTGCGGTTCCCCTTCCCCCTTTGGCCCTTGCGGGAGCCGCGCGGATAGGACTCGGCTGGCCCACTCTAACGACCGCTTGTTCTCTGTCTGTTCCAGGTGAAAAGACAAAACACAACAAGCCAAGATGTGTGACGACGATGTTGCGGCCCTCGTTGTTGACAACGGCTCCGGCATGTGCAAGGCCGGCTTCGCCGGAGACGACGCTCCCCGCGCCGTCTTCCCATCCATCGTCGGTCGCCCCCGCCACCAGGGTGTGATGGTCGGTATGGGACAGAAGGACAGCTACGTCGGTGATGAGGCCCAGTCCAAGAGAGGTATCCTCACCCTCAAGTACCCCATAGAGCACGGTATCATCACCAACTGGGATGACATGGAGAAGATCTGGCACCACACCTTCTACAATGAACTCCGCGTTGCCCCCGAGGAGCACCCCATCCTGCTCACTGAGGCTCCCCTCAACCCCAAGGCTAACCGTGAAAAGATGACCCAGATCATGTTTGAGACCTTCAACTGCCCCGCCATGTACGTCGCCATCCAGGCCGTGCTCTCCCTGTACGCCTCCGGTCGTACCACCGGTATCGTCCTGGACTCTGGTGACGGTGTCTCCCACACTGTCCCCATCTATGAAGGTGCGTTCAATACGAAGAAAGCTTTTGGAACTTATTAAGTGTTTTGAACACTGTCTGACCGAGAGTTTTCTTTTGTCATGTTCCAGGTTATGCCCTGCCCCACGCCATCCTCCGTCTGGATCTGGCTGGTCGCGATCTTACCGACTACCTGATGAAGATCCTGACTGAGCGTGGTTACAGCTTTACCACCACCGGTACGTTGCTTTAGAATAGTAAAATTGTAAATTTGCATTAATGCTAGCGTCGTCTCCCTTTTTCTTTCAAGTCCGTTCGTTACCCAATAAGCATGTATTTGTCGACCCATTGCATCCTACGAAACTGTCAATACCTGCATGAACTCATTTTTATAATCCCCCCGCAGCTGAGCGTGAAATCGTTCGTGACATCAAGGAGAAGCTCTGCTATGTCGCCCTGGACTTCGAGCAGGAAATGGCCACCGCTGCCGCCTCCACCTCCCTCGAAAAGTCCTACGAGCTTCCCGACGGTCAGGTCATCACCATCGGTAACGAGAGGTTCCGCGCCCCCGAGTCCCTGTTCCAGCCTTCCTTCGTGGGCATGGAATCCTGCGGTATCCACGAGACCGTCTACAACTCCATCATGAAGTGCGACGTCGACATCCGTAAGGACCTGTACGCCAACAACGTCCTGTCCGGTGGTACCACCATGTACCCCGGTATCGCCGACAGGATGCAGAAGGAAATCACCGCCCTGGCTCCCTCCACCATCAAGATCAAGATCATCGCTCCCCCCGAAAGAAAGTACTCTGTATGGATCGGTGGTTCCATCCTGGCCTCTCTGTCCACCTTCCAGTCCATGTGGATCTCCAAGGAGGAGTACGACGAGTCCGGACCCGGCATCGTCCACCGCAAGTGCTTCTGAGCATTTCGTCACCACCAGGCGCCGTGCAGTGCTGCGCCCCTCAAAGTGCACTGCATTTCCAAGACTGACTAAATGTCGCCTAACTTATTTTTCTACTCCATTCATGTTAGGGTACTGAGATTGCCCTATCCTTTGACGCCCTTTTTTATTGATATGTCGTCATATGCACGCTCCTTTTTTATCTCGTTCCACTTTTAATAAAAAAATATTTCGTATAACTCACTGTTTTGACTTTGTTGGTTCCATTCCGCATGCCTCAACGTCCTGTTATATCTTACCCTTTTGTAAATGCACGCAACATCCCACGTCCCACTTGAAGACCGCGACGAATTGGTGAGTTGATATCAAACGTTACGGGGCTGCGTTGATTGAGTTGTCAATTCTGTGGGTGTAGCCGGAGAGTCAGCCTGCAAGTCGTGGATAGGCAACCCACTGGGCAGTCTGCCTGTGCGATGATGATAGTAGCGATTTGTTAGCCTCGTGTAAATTGGAGGGACGTTTGAATGCACACTAAATGTTTTTCTTACATCCGCAGCTGAGCGTGAAATCGTTCGTGACATCAAGGAGAAGCTCTGCTACGTCGCCCTGGACTTCGAGCAGGAAATGGCCACCGCCGCCGCCTCCACCTCCCTCGAGAAGTCCTACGAGCTTCCCGACGGCCAGGTCATCACCATCGGTAACGAGAGGTTCCGCTGCCCAGAGGCCATGTTCCAGCCTTCCTTCGTGGGCATGGAATCCTGCGGTATTCACGAGACCGTCTACAACTCCATCATGAAGTGCGACGTCGACATCCGCAAGGACCTGTACGCCAACACTGTCCTGTCCGGTGGTACCACCATGTACCCCGGTATCGCCGACAGGATGCAGAAGGAGGTGACTGGCTTGGCGCCCTCCACCATCAAGATCAAGATCATCGCTCCCCCTGAGAGGAAGTACTCCGTATGGATCGGTGGCTCCATCCTGGCGTCTCTGTCCACCTTCCAGACCATGTGGATCTCCAAGCAGGAATACGACGAGTCCGGACCCGGCATTGTTCACCGCAAGTGCTTCTAAACGTCAAAACACGAACTGCAAATGTGTGCACTTCAAGTTCAAACTCCAGACGACAATGAGCCTGCCCCGACAGGCGCTGGTTTTCTGAAACTTCTGCCTGTTCTTGTCGCGACAACGGGAGCATGGAATGGGCACCCCTCGAGGGGCTGCCACACACTGGGCAACACTGGGCGTCACGCCACCGTGTGCTATCCAACCGGAAGTGGTGCGGGCCGCGGCGTCCGCACTGCCGGAAAGACATGGGAAATAGCATTTCATTCATTTTTCTTTTTTCTTAACTTCTGTATGTGTGCGTTCAATAATGTTTTAGAAACTCTGTTGTATTTTGGTATATATTTTGGTCCACATCGAGGAACAGTCTGAGATCGGTTTGCGATTATTTCTTTCTATTAAACAAAGGGACTCAATCAGTCATGGATTGTGAATTTATTTGAAAACCCCTTCACATCTCACTGGAAGAAAAATAATACACTAAAACGTTAATTGCAATATCAGTCCTCTTCTACTGGTAGCAACTTGATGTCATCGAGCAGCAAGTTGAAAGTTTCGCGCCATTTTGAAAGCAAGGAACACCATGGCACCTTTCAGACTCTACTTTCAGTGACTCATTGACTCTCTGCTTTTTTCCCCCAACTTTCGAGAAAACACTTTTAGTTATTTTCCTAGATATTTTATACTTGTCACCAACGTTAACTCCTGCCATTTGTTTCCCTTTCTTATTTTTCGGAAATTTATTTGATATTGTGAGGTTGGTGTCAGTGTTTTATTTTCGATGCCGCACTGTTTGTTTACATCTCCTCAAAATGCCGTAAATCCAACAAGCGGAATTTGATCAAATTGACGTGTATATTTAGTTAGTCATTCAAAGAAATTTCTACAGGCCATGGACGACTTCAATGCCAAAAAATCTAGGTGTGTTTCCACGTGATTCTGTCCCTACATTAGAGAATATTATAGAAAAGCTCCTAATGTAACCTCACCTGCCAGTTATATTTCAATGATCATTTCTATTAAATTATTTTATCTATTCTTTATGTTAACATGTTGAATACATATTTATGTTCCTTTAAGATATTTTTAATATGGTATTGTTTGCTGACAATGCAGGGCTCAAAAGTTCCGCCAAGATAAATACAGAGATCGGCACAAGAAGCATCCAGCAAGTGGGTCCCAGGGTGGGAAAAGTGTCGCCAAAAATGTTAACCAAGAGACTGTCTCAAAAGAGCCAGATAACAAAGCATTAAGCGATAGTGAAAATAGTGGTAAGAATCCTCCCATTTTTAGAACACGGCTCGCTCGTTTACTGATTTCAGTTAGAGGATGTGTCATCAAATCATATCAATTTCAATTCTTCTCTCAATGAATATAGAAAAGGAAGAAATGGATTCCAATCAACAAACATTTTCGAGGCGCAAGATGGTCAGTAATTGGGACAGGTATGAGGAGACAGTTGTGAACAGGTTTGAAGAAGAGGCTGAACCGACTGGAGCACTTTTTGAAGAACTTCTTTCAATGCCCATTTCAGGTTGAGTGTCTTTAAAATTTTTCTCATTCAAGAAACAAAATGTTTCATCCTTTAAAAACGTAATTTTGGTGTTGTACAGGTGGCCACCTTAAAATGAAACATGAGCATGAATGGGGAAAAGAGAAATCTGAGCTACAGATGCCATGGTTTCAATTAGACATCAAAGATGTTGAAAAGAACTTGGCAACAATGCCATTCCTTCTACGTCAGAACTTATCTTCCACTATTTTTACTGTAAGTAATTTATAATATTCGTGTTTTGTTCTTTTTGGCTTTTTTTTAATAGGTCAAATTTTTATCACATTTTTGTTCTGCAGGAAAGTCATCTGCAACGCATGACCACAAGAGCCAAACAAAATGCTGCCTCTTTAACAGATGTAAATGAAGGGATTCTGAAAATGCAAAGCCTGTGTGTCACTAGCACTTCAAAGAGTGCGGCATCTTCCCACAGCAAATCCACTGAAGATGAACTGGGCTCTAACAACCAAGCAGTAGAGTTGAAGAGAGGATCTGGAATTCAAGACAGTAATGATGTCTTGGAAAACGATGATTTAGATAGTTTGTTAGCTCTAGATGTAAGCTCTTCAAGTTCAGTTAATTTCAAACAACCTGGAAGTGATATTGATATGATTGAAAAAGGTATGTAATACCATCAATGTGGCCGAATTGACGGATTGATGGACATGATTTCTGATGTTTGAAAATTTTTTCAGATGACTCACTCTTAGACGAAACTGTGAAGAAAACACCTTTGAAGCAAGCGTCCCCTGTCTCTGCCCCTCAGACCACTACCCCTGCTGCACAGCCGTCTGTCTCTCTAGATGATTGGCTTGATTCTATTCTTGATGATTAAAGTTTTTTTGTATTTTCTGAGTTTTTGTCTTTTAACTTCACACCTTTCCATCAATATGGTGACAATTAAAGGAAACTGTTGGTAGAATTATGTAGCTTTTTTATTTATTATATTTACATACTAATTGAGAATTCTGTTCTATAGAAGAGATTAACTGATGATCATTTTTTGTAGTTTACATCTATGGAATGGATACTATGTACAAAACAGGTACTGATGTTCTAATTAAATTTGCATTACAAAAGAGAAAGTATTTTCTTACAAATAACATTAACTAGAAACATATCACATTATCATAACTTTTTTGCTTAACTTAATCACAGATGCGAATAGATTATCCAGCTTTCTGCATCACATGAATATAAAAGGCTGGATCTTCAACTTCTTCCAACTGTTTGAAGTCTGCGGAAATAATGTGTTCACTGCCGTAGGGGAAGACGCTGTCCACCATCTGGGTGAACCTCTTCAAACGGTGGGGGTAGTAGCACAGCCGGAATTCACTGTTTGAGAACAAAAACGAAACGATCCATCAGCACAAATTCATTGAAATGCACAAACAAAAACCGTTAGGGAAGGCGACCGGGCGCGATGGGTTGCCTACCCTGCCGGCGGGGCGAAACGCACCTGACTCCCTCCTCGATGCGGCGGCTGTCCTTGTCCTGGAGGTCGGACACGTCGATGAGGTAGTCCATGGTGACGATGGCCGGCTCGGTGCCCACGTACAGGATGGACGTCCTGATGTCCGTGGTGTGCTTGCAGTTGTAGTAGATGGACTTGGAGGGCGTGGAGCCGTTGTCCAGGATGTGGTCGAAGTTCCTGTGGTCGATGAGCAGCAGGCCGCCGGGCCGGACGCACTTCTCGAAGTTGGAGAGCGCGATTCTGCAAGGAATGAGAAAGGGACACATTAGCTTTCTCAGTTCCCGCCCCCAAAATGTTGCGCACACAATGCAAATTTTGGCGGGAATTTCTTACTTCTGCTCTTTCTGGTCGCCGGTGTTGTCCATCATGTGCGCGAACGAGTTGCCGAGGCAGATGACGGCGTCGAAGCCATCGCCGATGTGCTCGCTGATGTCGTCCGTCAGCGTCAGCCAGTTGGCCTCCTCGATCACTGCAAAGGAGTGCGTGCGCCCGTTAGAATCGCGGGTTCGATCCGCGACCAAATCATTGCTGCTTTTCGTCTTTTCGGTAGAAAGACTCACCCCAGTTGTCGAAGGCAGGGTCCCTGCGCCTCTCCCAGCGGGTCTTGAGGGCGTGCTTCAGCATTTTGTCGGACGCGTCGACGGACACCACCTGGAAGCCCTCCTCCAGCAGCATCACCGAGTCGATCCTGGAGTGGCGGACAAAAAAATAACGCGAAAGTGAGATTGTTTCAAAACGAGTAAACTTGTACCTCAGTGTGCACTGCGTGTGTACAGTGTACCCACCCGGTGCCGGCAGCCACGTCCAGGATCCTGCGGCAGCCCTGCCGCCGGAGCAGGCCGACGAGGAAGTCCTTGTAGTGGCGCGTGCGGGACTTCTTGTCCCCGATGAACACCTCCCACACCTTGGCGGCACGCCCGTCGGCGTACTGGTCGCGCACGCCCTCCACGGGCAGCCCCAGGGAGCGGGTGCGGAACACGCCGTCAGCCATGTCTGCAAGCAGCAAGGACGCTCGGTCAGGCGCGGATCCAGGATGGGGGAAAAGGGGGGGGGGGGTGTACAGTGGGCCAGAATGCCGGAGGCGCCGGCGGCCAAAACTCTAGACGCGGTTTGACGTGTGTGGCCCCACCAACGGATTCCTCGTTTGGAGAGAAATTATGACGTCATTAAGTCAATCGACTGCCTCGTGAGTGTTTCGTGTTCTTTGGGTATTCGCGCGAGTCCACGGTTTCTGCTTTTTTAAAAAAAAAGTTGTTGTTTCTGTTGTTTTTGTTGTTGTTGTTGTTGTTGTTGTTGTTCAGACTGAGCAAGAATGACTGTCACATGTGTGGATAAGGAACCTGCACACGCGGCCGAGGTACGGCAAATAACCGAGATGGCTGCAAGTGTGCATGCGATTCCTTATCTCCATCTCCTTGACATCGTATCAGGCGAGAATGGCAAACCGAGATTGGTGTTGTTTTTGTTTTTCCGCCCGATCGGTCTTACGGCGAAGGGCGGGGTTCGAACAATTGCTTCACGCCTTGGTATGGCGATAGCGTGACGACACAATGGCAGTGAGTACACTGGGTGACAGCGGGGTTATCGTCGATTCTAGTTGCTAACTCACGACACCCCTCACGCGACCTTGCACAGAAAAACGAAATGAGGGCCGTGCGGGGATTCGAACCCGCGCCCCGCGCAAATGGGGTGCGGCGCAAGGAAATCGGCGTGCCTTGAAAATAAGATAGTTATGGCGTGACACTGATAAAGGCAGGGCGCCCGACGAGCGGCGAATCGTCCTCGAGAGCCACGAGGAAAACCGTCAAGCACCTGGTGCCAGGCGAATCCACACAGAGACACACACACACACACACACACACACACACACACACACACACACACACACACACACACACACACACACATCACACGCGCCACGTCCCTTTCTCGATGTGTTGAGCCTGGCGCTGCCTTGCGTCGATCGAAGGAAGTCCGGCGGGCTGCATTCGGCCTTACCTTGCGAAAGTGATTTGTCGTCGGGGTCGGCAGAGAGGTCTCCTTCCTCGGCGGCGTCTGTCGGATCGGGGCGCTGCGGTCTGAGTCTGCGGGCCCCGGCCGGCGCGGGGCTTCTTATGAGTTCCTCTACGGCCGGCGTGCCTTGGGCGCGCCCCTCCCCTCCCCTCCCCGCCCCGCCGCCTTGTTTTGACAGCATGACAACACAGAGCGCGCCCCGCTACGCCCCGCTAGCCGCGCGCCGCGCCGAAACGCCCAAACCGGCACCAGCACACTCATTCCGAGAGTCGTTCTGTCTCTCTCGCACTCGCGGGGCGTCCCGTACAGGTGCGAGAGAGACAGAGCGACGAAAACGACCCTCGGGATCGGTGCGGCCGCGAAATAAAAAGCGCACGGCGCGCCACTGTTGTGTTGATGAGATAACGCGCGTGTCACGTCCCGATTAAGGCATCGCCACGCACTGCCACCTCGCGATACAATGATAAAATCAAACCAACGAAATCGGGAAGGCTTCTCGGCGCGCGAGTGACCTGGATGACGGGACACTTTCCGTGTGTCAGAGTGTGAGTGAAGGGACGGCAGAGCGCTTCGCAGAGCCAGCTGCAGTTGAAGGGCGATACCGTCATCGTGACGTCAGCGTGTCTTCCGGCGGCTGCCATTGGTCGGCCGCAGGCCAATCGGAGGTCGCGGAAGCAGAGCGCCGGCCGGGGCGGGGCGGGCTTCCCGCTGTGCCCCGGCACGGACGGGCCACACGGAGGGGGCACACTGTAACCCCAAGTTGCCTCATCTCATCATCTGGTGCAGGCTCACGTGCCAACGGTCGCGTTCGGCTGTGTGATGCAAAATCCAAAACTGTCGATAGTATTGAGTCGCCGCGATATTGATATGATTGACTGCAGACACTTCCGAGAGTCGTTTATGCCGTTTGTTGATTGACCGCTGTCTCTTTCGCACCTACGGTGAGGCGCCCCATGAGTGCGAGAGAGACCGCGCGACGAAGATGACTCTCGGAATCAGTGTGCTTGTTTGTCTGTGCGGGGTGTTGTGGACATAGGACCGCGTGTGTCGTCGTTCTCTCTCTCTCCTACGCCACTACGTAACGCCCCAATGGGTGCGAGAGAGACAGAGCGACGAAACCGCGGTTCGCAGTCGTTCTGATGGGTAGTATTGCGAAGCGCGGCCTGGTGCCTTGCGGGGTGCGGGCGTCCCGGACCGGAGGGCGTGCAGGTGGGGGAGGATGGGGCGACGCAGGAAGGGGTACAGAAGGGGTGGAGGATGCGGCTGCGAAATCCACAGGGGTGGGGGTTGAGGAAGTGGGTAGGGGCGGGGGTCGACTCAATGTCACCATAAGTAGGCAACATTTCAGGAGCGGCGACGGGCTTGCCGCCTCCTGGCCCCCCTGCCCCCCGCCCCTGTCCCCGCCCCTGGCCCGGCGGGCGACTGGCGCCTTGCACGGGCTGCGCGCTGCGCACAGGAGTACGTTGGGCTGCCCGCCCGTCAGGCGTCAGGCGCGCCATCCTACGCCATCCCAGTGACACGGGGGAACGAAAGAGTCGCTTCACTAGCCGCACCGCGGTTCCCACGACCCACCGAAGTTGCTGGTGGTCTTCCCTGTTGTTGTTGTTGTTTGAGAATGCGCCGTGTTGACATCTTTTATTTTATCCTTATGGTTCACACGGCAGAGGTGCGAGTTCAAGAATAATTTTGCCGCAAATCGCATCTTATTATCATAATTATCGAGGCCGTTAGATTGGTCCGGTTGATCACCGTGTCCAAAAAAAATGTTTCTGTTTGAGAGAGGGCCAAAAGTACGTACGCAAATGACGTAAACAAAGCTAACTTTAATAGGATTACGAGGTAGGTCCCTAACAGTGTCGTCGTCGGCGACCTTCACTCTTCCTCTTCCTCTTCTCCCACGTCCGTGGAGGCGGCGGACGTCGTCCTGGCCGTCGTGGTGGTGGTGGTCGTGGTGGCGGCCGCCAGGGTGGCGTTGACGGGGTGCTCGGCGGGGATCTCGTCGTACTCCTCGGGCGCGGGGGTGATGGCCACGGGCACGCCGACGGCGATGCCCGACCCGTCCTCGGGCTTCACCACCTTGACGCCGTCCGCGCCCACCCGGATACAGTCGAAGGTCATCTGCGGGCCGGAAGGTCCCGGACAGGACAGCGCAGTGGCGTCAGCGGGTCTCAGACAACGGGGTGCAGTAAAGGTGCAGTGGACCAAAAGACTGGCGGAGGCGGCCAAAACCCTAGACGCGTTTTGAGCTCCAGCGGTCTTCTGGCCCACTGTACGCTGATCCAGAGCCAGCCTGAGGGAGTGCCAAAGCTGCACTTTTTTGCTTACTTACAAAGTGCTGCTTTTTGCCTTCCTCTCAGGCGGCTCTCCAGGGGCCAAGGGGGTCAAATGTCTCCATTGCCCCCCCCCCCCCGCCCCTTTCCTCCTCCGAGATCCTGGCCCGTGCGCTTTTAGCACTCACTTGCCGGTTCGCCTAATTGCTGTTACCTGGAAGGCCTGCGAGTCCTGCCACTTGGCCTCCATGTCGACGCAGGCGTGCACGTTCCTGCCCACGAAGTACACGTTGCTGAGGCGCACGCACAGCTTGGCGCCCGTCACCCGCGGCACGGACACGCACAGCGGCCGGGGGTTCTTGGCTGCGGAAGATGGAAGTCGCGGGTTCAAACACCGGCCATGTAGGTACGAATTTAACCGCAAAAAAAAATTAAAACAGTAAAATTGCTGAAATGAGATACCCGAGATGGTGTTCTTGTAGAGGACGCGGTCGTTGAAGGACAGCGCCATGGCGAAGGCGAAGTCGTCGGGGTCGTAGGTGATGTTGATGCAGCCGCGCTGCCGGGGCGCGAAGTTGATGAGGCTCTGCATCACGAACCCGGAGCAGCAGCTGCACTGGCCGTCGGCGCACTCGCAGGGCCGCCGCGGCGCGCGCGCGGACGCGCCACCTGTCGAACGTCAACGTGTCCGTGAATACACATCCGCGCGCGGGCAGGGGCGCACACCGGCGGCCAAAATTCTAGACGCGTTTGGAGCTCCATAGTCCTGACACTAAGTAAGCTGACCTCTGGCGAAGGCGACGGCGTCGTCCTCGAACTCGACGTCGGGGTACTCGAAGTCGGCGTCGTGCAGCACTGCGCAGTGCGCCAGGGCCAGGGCGTAGAGCGTCAGCACCGCCAGCGAGCGCCCCATCCTGGTCCTTGTTCCGCCTGCAGTCCCCCCGGTGCACTTCCCTGCAGTCCCCTGATTCACCCGGCAATCACTCCGGGGCGTTACTGCACCGTAAACACTGGGAATCCGGAGGTGCCCGAGGGTTCACTGACCCGCTCCGTCTCGCGTCAGTCGTCCGCGCGCGCAGCACGCAGCAGGGTCACTGGGAGTGTCCTCGGCCTGCAGCAGCCTGGCAGCAGCCTCACGGTGAAGCCTTCAGCCCGGTCAGCAGCCACCAGGACCAACCAGGACTAACCAGGACCGGACTGGAACTTAGCGGGACACTCGCCATGTGCCCTCCTGCCAGTCTGTCCGTCTGTCCGTCCGTCCACCTGTCTGCTTCTTGTCTGCCTGTCTGTCTGTCCGTCCGCCTGTCCGTCTGCCTGTCTGTCCACGCCCGGCCTGGCCGGCGAGGTGATGCCTCCGAGCACTCCGTGCCACTCCGTGTGCGGCCACGTCAACTTCCAGTGTCGCGTCGAGGCTTGAATGACCCGCGCACCGTATCTTTACGAGTGTCCGCGACACGACGCGCTCCGTCTACTCCGTCTAGTCGTGCATGTTCGGCCATGTTCGGGCGCGCGGCCCGTTCGCCGCACAGGAAGCAGAAGGAAGCAGAAGGAAACAATCGAAACACTCGGCATGTGGTTTGTTTAATGTTCCAAGGACCGAGCTGTTGACACTCGTGAACGTCGGCGACAAGCTCCGATTGATTAATTTAACTACAAACTAGAATCACATGTAGGAACGCCGGGTCGCTGCCTCCACGCCTTCCTAAGCTGGTGCTAAGTTGTTTCGCAACTGAATAAGTTAACTAGCGGCGAGTCGCGGGTAAGGTACACCACCTCTAACAAGCCAGGCACACACACAGACACACAGAGGGACACACACTCACGCACACAGAGAGGAGTGGAGAAAGCATCGGGCAAGGAACAAACCGCAAATAACTAGGAACTGGCGTAAAAATAAGCGGGCGTCGGGCGTCCCCAGTGCCCAGTGCCTGTGATGACAGAGGGGCCGACAGGGGCTCAACGCCCAACAAACGTCTTTAGCCTGCCCCGGCGGGCCACGGCAGGCCGGGGTCGCTGCCCCCGGCGCCCCCCTGGGGCACCGCCTGGGGCACCGCCTCGGGCACCGCCTCGGGCACCGTGGGGGGCGTCCGTCACGTTGACAAAGTCTTGATGGCCTGGCCACTGCACTGTCTGTCCACTGTCCACCCAGGGGTGGCGGGGCGGGGGTCGTCCCGCCCCAGACACGCCGGCCGGAAGCGGGCCGGAGGCGGGCCGGAAGTGGACCCGAAGTTGGCCTAGGCCTCCGGGGCGCCCCTCGTCCCCAGGACCAGGTCGGGGCAGATGGCCGGGCTGAGGCGGCCCCGGGCGCGGCCCTCGGAGGCCACGACGGTGGTGGGGGTGCCGGGGAAGAGGTCGCCGTCACCCTCCGCGTCCGAGGACGACGACGACGACGAGTCCGACGGCGGCGGCGCCCCGGACGCGAGCACGCGGAAGCCGAGGCCCAGGTGGCCCAGGTGGCCGTACTCGCTGCCCACGGCGCCCAGCGCGCCGGCCGGCGGGTGGCGGCGGCGGTGGCGGTGTAGGGCGTGGCCGCGGCACTGGCCGCCGCCGCCCTTGCCGCACCGGGGGCCGTGGGGGTGGTGGCGCGACGCCCGCCGCCTCACCGACCACGCCAAATTGGGCAGCAGCCCCGCCAGCGTGTCCTGCAGGCACATCCACATCCAGAGGGTCAGCAGGCGGCTAAAACACTAGACGCGTTTTCAGCTCCACAGTCGCTGAATGGGACTCGAACCGAACGTGTGACCCCACCAATGGATTGCTCTCCGAACGAGGAATCCATTGGTGGGGTCACACGCTCGGTTCGAGTTCTGTTTAGCGACTCTGGAGCTCAAAACGCGTCCAGAGTTTTGACAGCCTCCCCGACGGCAGCAGCGGCATGGCGCCCGGCCGGTAGGCAGTCCGCGCGCAGCTGCGTCGTGCGGGACGGCCTACCCGGCATCGAGCGGCGCTCGGCGCGCTGACCGCCCCAAGAGCCCAAGGGCCACTTCGCTCCTCGCCCCGTCAATTTGAGAGATTTCCCATTTCCGGCGGGTCGATACCTCGGCCCTCCGCCTTACCTTCCCCGCCTGCCGGAACTTCCTGCTCATGAGCTGGTACAGGATGGGGTTGACGGTGGCCGACACGTAGTGCAGCACGCCCGACACGTACGTGAGGCCGTCGAAGAGGCCGGGCCCCACGGCGCCGCCGGCGTGGATGGCGACGAGCCGCTGCGCGTGGAAGGGCGCCCAGCACAAGAAGAAGGCCGTCACCACGGCCGCTGCAACAGGGCAACCAACCGACGGGCGGGTCAGGCCTCAGGGGGTGGGGGTGGGGCGCATGCCGGAAGGACGGGGAGCCGCGCTGCCGCGCTCAGTTTTCGAGTTTGGGAGACAAATTGGCCGGGCTTACGGGAGGGCCGCCGAGCGCTTCGCTTCCGCGTTCGCTCCGCGGTCCTCACAGTGAGCCAGAAGCCGGGTGGAGGCGGCCAAAATTCTGGACGCGTTTTGTGCCTCCCGAACGAAAGCACTAGACGGGGTCCTTGGTCCTTGAGGCGCTCGTTCCGTTATTTTCGCGTTGAGAGCGCATCCCTGACTCGAGGAACGCGAACGAACGGTCTTCGCGCGGCGAAGCGTATGCCAAGTTCGAGGGGTACTCGTCCCTGTTGCCGACGAGAAGTCCCTCCCGAGGCCTCTCTATTTCCGCCAGGCCTTTCTTTCAGGGCGGGGGCGCTGGGGCGGCAAGGCTGGCGGCAAGGCCGCGTCCTTAGCGGTCTCCCTGTGTCGAGCAGCCTCCGCGTGCGTGCCGCGTGCCGCGTGCCGAGGCAGATCGGGCGCGCTTTTTATGAATTGCCTCGCCATGCTAAGCAGCGAGGCGGCGAGGCAGTGAGGCAGCGAAGCAGCGCGCCTCTCACGTGGAGTGCCTTATTGTGTTCGCCGCCCGGGATGGCGGAGGGGAGGGGGAGGGGGACACTTCCGCACGCGTGGCAGACGAGGACCCGGAACCGGCGCCGAAACAGCAGGGGAAGTTGATGCAAAGCACCGTCCGCGTGTTCGCCCTGTTCGCCCTGTTCCTCCAAGGTCCCCCAGTTTAGGCCTCATGTATCCGCCGCCCCCGTTCCCTCCCCGTCTCTCCCAATTATCGCAGTTGTAGTTCCTTGGGGGTAAGGTGACGTCACCGCGGGTCGCGCGGAGGGAGAGAGAGGTGTTGCGTTTCGCGGTGTCGTGTCGCCGTGTGGGTGGCTCCTGCTCGCTCCGGCTCGTGCGGGACTCCGCCACGCCATGCCACGCCATGCCCGGACTGCCTCTGCCATGCTCTGCCAGGGACCCCTGATTTCGATGCAGCAAATGGCGGCCGCGCTGCTCCAAAGCACTCCAAAGCACTCCAAAGCTCCAAACTGTCCTTCCGCTCCACTGGGCGCTCCACTCCACTGGGCCCCGCGGAAACATTCCGGCCAATTCCGGCCGTGTCTGCGGGTAATGCCTGCCGGTTCAAGGCTGCGCCCCCTTGTCCGCGGACAGGCAGCCAGGCAGGCAGCCAGGCAAGCCTCGAGCATGCAAAGCAGAGGCTCGTCCGTCGCCCTGGCCAGGCCGTCCCACAGTGGGTCGGAGGACCGGCGCCGGCGGCCAAAACCCTAGACGCGTTTTGAGCTCGAACCGAGCGTGTGACCCCACCAATGGATTCCTCGTTCGGAGAGCAATCCATTGGTGGGGTCACACGTTCGGCTCGAGTCCCATTTAGCGACTCTGGAGCTCAAAACGCGTCTAGAGTTTTGGCGGCCGGGCCTTCTGCCCCACTGTGCCCCTGGTCTCCCTTGCTCCGCGCCACTGGTAATTTCTCTGCTTACGGACGCGCCCCGCCCCGACCCTCCGACCCCGCGCCGCGTAGCGCCGCGCCGTCCGCGCGGGAGGGGGAGGGGGAGGGGGAGTGCCGTGGGAAGTCGGCGACAAAGTCGCAGCGTGGCCCGGCGGAGTCGCTCAGCGCGGAGCCGCGGCCCGGGTTCAAATACCCTGCACACACTCACCCAGCATCTTGATGACCCTCTTCTTGGCGGCGACGTGGCGCAGCGACGACGGCGTGCTGTGGCCGACGGCCTCCTTGCGCTGCCGGTGCAGCCGGCTGGCGATCAGCGCGTACAGCACGCACATCAGGGTCATGGGGGCGGCGAAGAACACCAGCGTGGCGGCCTCGAACGAGTGCGACAGCAGCACGCGCACCTGCGCGCACAGGGGCACCTGGCGGCCCAGGATGTCGGTCACCATCACGCCGAACTGCATCGCCTGCAACAGCGGGGCGTACGTCGCGTGGTACAGTGTAAAGGCGCCCCAGCCCCGTCGCGTCTCGGCGCCGCCCTTCGCCTTCGCCCTGCCGACGGGGCGCCCATCATTATCACGTCAATGGCCGCACAATGGAACGACTTTCACATTCAGACTCGCAGTCTCCATTACATTCATATTCAGCAGGCCCACCTTGGCGAACGCGAGAGTAGGCCGCCCCGCCGAACAGCAGTCAGCCAAGTTGCACTCCAGCCTCAGCCCGCTTACCTGGATGCCGGCGCAGAGCAGCGCGGCCGCCCACACCCCGGCGATGACCTTGAAGACGCGGTGGCGCCGCGAGGGCGCCTGCGCGCGCGTGGCCGTCTGGAAGGGCTTGCAGATGGCGAGGTAGCGCTCCACCGTGAAGGCCGTGATGGTGAGCACGGAGGCGTTGGCCGACGTCTCCGCGGCCAGGCCCCGCAGCACGCAGAAGGCGCCGCCGAACGGGTAGGGGTAGCGGATCCAGATGGAGTACACCTCCTGGGGCAGCCCGGACAGCAGCAGCAGCAGGTCGCTCACAGCCAGGCTCATCTGCAACGTTCGTTAGAAGATGGACTCCCAGTATGGCTCGCTGTCTCTCTCGCACCCTCGCGGGCCGCTCCATGAGCGCGAGAGAGACGGGCGCAGTCACTGTCACCGTTTGAGAAAAGCAAAAGTGGAGCGGACGCCGGGACTCGAACCCTCGACCTACCAGGTAGTAGTTGGTGGGCGTGTGCATGCATCGGCAACGCCAGATGACAATGACGGTGACCACGTTGCCGGCCACGCCGGTGACGAAGATGGCCACGTAGATGACGGTGACGGGCACCACGATGGCCAGCGCGTCCCTCTTGGGCGGGAATTGCGGCACCCAGGCGGACGTGGCGTTCGCCTCCATGACCCCCGCGAGCTGCGACACGGACGCACGGCCCGCGGCGACCCTGCGGCAGGCAGACGGGCCTCCTTGACGTGCGCCACAGACTGATTCCGAGAGGCGTTTTCGTCGCTCTGTCTCCCTCGCTCTGTAGGGGCGTCCCGTGCAGGTGCGAGAGAGACAGCGCGACGAAATGGACTCTGCTGCGCGGCGCGGTGCGGCGCGGTGCGGGACGCATGTTGGTCCTGGCGACAAGGCAATCAACGGCGACCGTGTCCCTCGCCTTGCGGCGCTCCTTCTCCTTCGCATCCTTCACTACTTATTCGCGGCGGGGGCAGCCAGAGCGTCGCGCTGTCTCTCTCGCACCCTTGCGGGACGCTCCATGAGTGCGAGAGAGACAGAGCGACGAAACGATTGGTTCGGCTGCACCGGCGGCTAGCTCGGGGCTCGGGATGTGGCCGCCGTGGTCCGTCCGCGCCTTGGTCGCCTAGGCCCTGCGGACCGACGGATGGTCGGCCCCGCCACCGTCGCGCCGTCACCCCGCCGTCCATTTAAATCGAGTTGTTGTTTTTTATCGGCAAGGCTGCCGCGCTGCCGCCGGCCCTCTGACCCTCAGCCGCGCCGCCCGCCCCTCGGCCTGGACCGGCTCGCGCCCGCTTGTGCCGCCCGGCGCTGCCAACACAAACTCGGCCAGCTCCGCCAGCTCCATGACGTCGCAGCTAGCCGCCCCGCCCCGCCCCGCCCACTGCACGCCGATAGAGGGATGGGATGCACGTCGGTCGCGCCGTGCCATGCCGTGCCCCTCAAAATAGACCTCGTCCTGTTCCCTTTCCTGCTCGGCCGTGCCTATGGGGTGGCGGCGTGCCTCGGGCGTTCCTAAGGGGCGAGGGCGTTGGTGCCTTGGGCTTCCTGGGGCGTTCCTCAGGGGCGGGGGCGTGCCTGAGGCGTGCATCAGGCGTTGGGGCGTGCCTCGGGCGTTCCTGGAGCGTAACTGAAGCGTGCCTGGGGCGTGCCTGGGGCGTGCCTCGGGCGCTCTGGGGCGTGCATCGGGCGTTCCTGGGGCGTGCCTCGGGCGTGCCTCGGGCGTTCCTGGGCGGTAACCGAGGCGTGCCCGGGGCGTGCTTCATCGGCGTTTGCTCGAGCTGGACTTGGGGTGGGGCGCCACTAGGGCGGCACGCTGCACAGTGTGATAGCATCGGCCTGACTCGGCGCCGACTGCGCCGCGCTCGGTGTCCGCCATGTCCACCATGTCCACCTCGTTAGGCGGATGATTGGAGAGTGCTCCCCCTCCCTGAACACGCCCCTGCCCCCGCACCACTATCTACTTCATCCGCGACATTGGCGTTGACCGAGGGGCGGCGCGCCGCTCTGTGACACGGCGGTGTGACCAGAGCCGCGCCATCCGTGACAGCGTGACAGCGTGACGCGGTGCTGTGACCGTAGCCGCGCGTGGCGTGCGTGCGTCGTCGCGTCGCGTCGCGGTGACACAATGCAGATTCCTGGGACGTTTTCGGTCTGGCCCAAATGGCCCTCTGATAGCCAGTCCGTGGCGCCCTGGCCTGGCCTGGCCCCTCGCGCTGCCGAGCGAGCGATTCCGAACCGCTCCATCTCTGTCGCACCCTTCTGAGACCCCACGAGTGCGACGGAGAGCGACAGAGCGATCCTTCGGGATCGCTCGCCTGTTTGCACTCGGGGAGCGGAATGCCGAATCGAATGGTGCCTTGCCTGCGGCGGTAAGGCCCTGCACGCGTTTCCGCGCCGCGCGTTCTCACGCGGATTCCCAGGAGCGCGGGAGGGAGAGGGAGGGAGAGGAGGCTCATGAGCAGCACGGCCCGACCGCAGCAAACGAACCGACCAACAGACCAGGCAGCCATACGCTTATGGTTTATAGCTTGCCTTCGCGTGCCTTCGCATTCCGACGGCCACGCGCGCCACGCGCCTATGCGGACTTCCCCGCGGTACATGGCACATTTCGTCGCTCTGTCTCTCTCGCGCCCCTCCGAAACGCCCCACGAGTGCGACGGAGACAGTGGAGCGACCGACCGATGGAGGACCGTGGGTATGACGTCCGGCGCTGGTTCGACGGCGACCTCTATGACGGCCTGCAGAGCAGACTGATTCCGAGAGTCGTTTTCGTCGCCCTGTCTCTCTCGCACCTCTACGGGACGCGCCATGAGTGCGAGAGAGACAGCGAGTGTGCTGGCGGGCTGGCGGCAGCGCGGGCCCAACGCGGATAGCTCACGTCGCCGACGTTGGCCCACGCCGGTCCTTGCCGGTTCATGATTCCGGTGTAGTGGCGGCCGGGAGGCAAGGAGGCAAGCCGGGAGGCAAAAACACGTTGATGAGGTGCGGAAAAAAATGAGCAAGGACGGAGCGACGCTCGTTCGTGACCCGGGTGTCAATCGGCGGGCATTAATCCACACGGAACCAAGCAGACTAAGCAGCATCGCCGGGATTACCTAAAGGCGAGCCCGCGGCGTTGGTCTAGGGATGGCGGGCATCCGGCGCCGACCACCCCCACCCCACCCTCCCGGTGGGCGGCGGGGGCGGCGGGGGCGGCGGGGGCGGGGCGGTGGCAGGGCGCCAGCAATATTTCGCGCCATTTGTCGGCAGTTTGGCTTTGACTGATTGGGCGAGTGGTAATCGGGTGTCGAGTCGCTATAACCGCCAGCCAGCCGTACCGCCAGGCCGCCCAGCCATGCAGCGAGTCCCGAAGCGGACCCGAAGCGGCGCCTGCACACTGATTCCGAGCGCCGTTTTCGTCGCTCTGTCTCTCTCTCTCTCTTGCACTGATGCGGCGTCGGCTACAGGAGCGAGAGAGGCGGAGCGACGAAAACGACCCTCGGAATCAGTCTGCTGGCCTCACTTCGCCAGAAGCAGGCGTCATGATTTCTTGTTACTTTGTTTCCTCCGGGGTTTTCCCCCTTCCATGAAGTGGCGACAATTTTAACCGCCCAGAACTTGGGCTCGTCGAGGCGCGGCAAATCCTCAGCCGGCGCGGCTGGCGCCCTCGGCCGCCCTGCCGGAGCTCCCAGCACGCCCTTTTTAAAAACGTCGCCAGGAGGGGGAAATCCCTGGAGGGAACAAAATAATAAGAAAACATGACGCCTGCTCGGCGAAGTGAGGCTGCTCAAATTCGGAGCAAAGCGGCCAAAGCCGCGTTGACGGCGTGCTGGTGGGGCGGGGCGGGGCGGGCCACCACGCGGGGGGAATGCCAGATGGGGCCGGGAGAATAACTAGCAGCGCGCCTTAAGGACGGCCCCCTCTCCAGCCGCCTCCGTCTCTCTCGCACTCGTGGAGCTCAGAGGGTGCGAGAGAGACAGAGCGGCCATTTTCTGACAAAGCGGCGCGCTCCGGGAGGGGCCGACGGGGCCCACGGGGCCGACGGGGCCGACAGCGGCGCATCAATGAATGATCCGTCAGCCGTGCGGCACCCTTGCGGCCTGCAGGGCGATTCGCTCTGTCTCTCTCGCACTCATGGGGCGTTCCGCGTAGGTGCGAGAGAGACAGAGCGAGTCTGCTTCGCGGCGCGGCGTGGCGGGGTGGTGGCATTAGGATTGACGCCCAGCCCCAACCCCGAACCTGCCCGAACCCTGAACCCCGCCCATTTCTTATACCACTCCCTTTCCTTCCAAGTTTTCGCCACTTCCCAAACGCCCATCCACAACCTTTCTTGCCTTTTTTTTCTTTTTCCTGTAGCGCCCTGAAAAAGCGGGCGAACGGTCGGAACCGACTCCAGAAAGGCGGAGCGACGCGCAGGAATGGAGATAAAAGCAACAAGGGACAAACGGACAAACGGAAGGGGAGATAATGACACACGCCTCTGCCACCCTTGTGTCTGAACCGCGTATTCGTACGCATGTGTGTGTGCGTGTGAGCGCGTTTCTGGGTTCTATTTTCGGGTAGGTTGGCTACCTTTTCCTATGCCTACATGTGTGTATGCATTATCTGGTTTGTGGTTTATGCATATGCACATTATGCGTGTACTGTATACATACATGCATACATACGTGTGAATGTCCGTGCATGTGTGTCTGTCTGTCTGTCTAACGTGCCGCTTGAGTATGCATGTCTATATGTGTATGCGTGTGAGTCGGCGTGAGTGTGAGCAGGAGGTCGAGTGGGTGTGTGGGTGTGGGTGCGTCGGTGTGAGTACCGTCGGTGCACGCCGGTTCTGCATCTCGTTAGCGGTGACAGTGGCGCGGCGGCGTGCCCCTCTGCTTCTCTGCTTCCCGGTCTTCCCTTGTCAGAGCGTGATCAAAGCACCGAAGGCGCGCGACGGCGATGGAGATGAGATTTGGCCAACGAAAATCCACACTCTGCAAGTGAAGGTGAAGGTGCAGCCCACAAACAAGGGACATTGGACAACGTCCAACGCTCGGATGAAGTCGCATGCGCCCTTGCTTTTTTGATGGGAGTGAGTAGGAGTACTCGGGCGTTTGGTCGCTGTCTCCTGGAGACAGAGCGACAACACTGCCGATCGAAATCACATCAGCGGCAGCCCCATCGCCCAAAAAACTGACTGACCTGTTCACCGGGTGCAGGCGGTGCAGCAGGCGGTCCCGAGGGCGGGCCTAGGTCCCGGCCGGGGTCCGCCGGCTCCCCATGTCGGCAAGCTCGTCTCCTCGACCTTCTCCGCCGCGGGGCGCGGGGTTCACGCCGGCGCAACCGGAGTCTCGGGCCGGCTCTACGGCGACGACGGCGTCCTGGCGGTCCTGGAGGGGCGTCCGTCGGGGCGAGTCGCGGTCGCGGCCAAGCACGGCGGGGACGGCGGGGAGCGCTCGCGGCCGGCAGCTGCACCCCGTGCCATATTGCGCGCGATTGCCGTGCGGGGGCCTCGGGGGCACCTCTCTGGGGCCTCGAGTGGGACGCGGCGGCGGCGGCGGCGGCGAGGTGGCCGCGGGGGCTTCCCTCCCCCCTCCTCCCCCTTTCCCCCGCTACCCCTTCCGCGCGCCTTCCGGGGGCGGCGGCGGCGGTTCGCGCGCCCGACCTAACCTAACCTGACCGAACCTCCTCCCAAGTGTGCCGCCGTATGTCGCTCGTCGCGGTTTGGAGTCGGTGCCGTCGGAGCTGAGGCACTGCAGAACCAGAGTCCTATTCAACACGCCCCATGAGTGCGACAGAGACAGCGCGACGAGAAATACTCTCGGAATCAGTCTGCAGTCTGCAGGCGGCTAAGGCAGCTGGATCGAAAAGCGCCGCGTTTGAATCTCGCGCCGCGGTGCGGAGCGCTCCAAACCGAAAGAAGTGAGTCAAACGCGCTGTTGTGTCAATGCTTTAAATTCATATTCCCGGCCCCGCTGTAAAGGTGCGCCGAAAATTCCTTTCCTTGTTGCATTCTTTTTTTATCGACGATTTTTGTGTCCGGCCGGTTTGGCACTGCGACTTAGAAGGCAGCATGAGAGAGGAGCCAGCGTCTTCGAACGCCGCTAAGAATCGATAGAGATTGAACGGCGCCATTTTGTGCGTTGAGCGTCGGGGCGTCGGGTCGTTGCGTCGAGTGCTTTTCATGTTATGACAGAATCCCAGTTCCCGGATTGATTGAGCGGTTTTCCATCGAAGTGCGAAGGCGGACTTAGGTTGATAAGGTACGCCCTGTGCGGGGCAGCTGTTCGTTACGTCCTGTTCCCATTTTCTGCGATTCTTTGGTCTTGTTTCTACGCCCTCCGTGCAAGGCGTCCCCCCTGCATTGTCTGTTTGTTTTCTATTTTCAAGTTTACAAACTTTCCTCTTTCAGTTTACCCTCGAATTTTGTCATTTTTCTCGCATAGTTCTTAGTCGGAGTCGTGATTCATTGATTCTAGGTTTTGTGGGTTGCTCCTACTTATTTGTTTTCTCAAGTTCCTGTCTATTTAAGTTTTTTTCCAAATTTTCTGTGTATTCTCCTGCAAACTACTACTTAGACTAGCTTTCATGATGTTAATTCATTCATTCTTTTCTGCACACTTGTTAATTCACTGATCTTTTTTTTTCAGACTGATCTCCGAGCGGCTACCAAACATGGGTTCCTCTCAGCAATTCTCGTTGCGCTGGAACAATTATTTGCGCCATATAACCAGTGCTTTTGACTCATTAAGATCAGATTTAGACCTTGTTGATGTGACATTGAGTTGTGAAGGTAAAAAAATTAAGGCCCATAAAATGCTGTTATCAGCATGTAGCACTTATTTCAAAGATTTATTTAAGGTGAGTACTGTCTACCGAGATCAGTGTAGTTTCTGTACACTGTTAAGTGCTTAAAGTAACCCTTTTATTTAAACTTGGACATTTTTCTTTTGCAGGAGAACCCATGCCAACACCCTGTGATAATTTTTCGTAATGTTAAGTTTGCCGATTTGGAGGCATTGATAGACTTTATTTATCAAGGTGAAGTTAATGTTGTTCAAGAACAGTTAGCATCTTTTCTTACTACAGCTGAATTGTTAGCTGTTCAAGGACTGACAGATGGTGCTGGACAAGACCTAGCTGAAACTTTAAACGTATGTATCATGTCACTTAAATCTAGATCAGCCACTTTTGAGGCACAACTGATGGTTAATTTTGATTTCTCACAGGAAGAAAATATAGACTCTAATGTCGACACCATTAGTGAAGAGGCTCTACCTGTAGAAAATAAGCGCACTAGCAGTAATACAAATAGTCATTTGTTTACTCCACCAAATCAAAATCCTTCCTCACCGCCCCTGAAGCGCAAGAAGTGGAGTGCACCTGTTCAGCCAAACAGCAATCTAAAAAGAACAGACATCACTGAACCTAGAAGGCTACCTCAACCTAGTTCAAGCAATAATACAGTAGATTTAATACCTGTCATGTCACAAGTCAAAGTAGAAATGCCTGAATTTTTGGACGCCGAATCTGGTCAAATTAATTATAATAATGCGGAGCAAGAAGAAAACACATTAGAAGAATTAGACAACTTAGAACACAGTATTCCTTCGGCATCTGCCGGTAAAGAAGAGGCAATGGATGTATTTGGTGCTGGTGCAGGTGATGGAGGAGAATTAACTGGAGAACCAATGACACCTGCCGAACTAAGTAAGACTATTTGTCTTGAAACCGAACCATTTAATTTTGTGTCAGTCCTCGTTACTTACTATCAATTTTATTTTTGTTTTCAACCAGGTCAAGTCCTGGGCAAAGCTGGTCCATCAAGTGAAGGCTCACAGGATTCCTTGCAGGGTGAGTTTTAAGTAAACTTTCTTGAACTTCTGAGGAACAACAGCACTCCACCCAATTTTGTAATGGCAGTTTCTTTTTAACTTCACTTGTATTATGCCAATTTATGTCAAATGTTCCTGTGTCCTTTGACGTTGTCAGGGTCACACATCAATCAAAAGATTTTGTCCAAAAGCCATTACTTGTTACAGTGGGATACTGCTTTTCCTCGACTAGGAAAGTCAGATAGTTAAATCAGATATTTGAAAAAATCTTATTACAGAACTTTTGATAAAATCATACTGCTGTGGTTTAACTGTCTGGCTCATCTAGTTTTATCAATAAGTTCAAAAATGCAGGCTCTAATAGACCTGTAGGTTACTTGCAGCTCATTTTAAAACTTCAATTTAAGAAAGAAAAAAAAAACTCTTGATATTTTATGAACTGGTTCAGGCTCTGGTTCTAACAATATCTTAACTGTCAAATTCATAGATAAATTTGCACTTCTAAATTGATGAATATAATTGAAGTGAGCTTATTTATCTCCCCCATTTCTGAGAACGGGCTTCAGATTGAGCAAAGCTTTCTTCAGTGGTTCTCTCCTTCATATTTTATTCTTGTGAAATTTTGCTGTTGAAATTGTGGAATTGCACCATCAGCAATATTGCTACCATGTATTGGCTATCACGTGTCTAGATATGTTCCCATTGTAGCGGATGTGGTGGTGGTGGTCACTCTTGTCTGAGAAGGTTGGATTTCAATGCACTAGAGACGTGCTTCTTGTAGATGTCTTTGGCTCTTCGGTTTTCTGGTTGTCAGCTTCTATTTTCTCCTACCCACTGCTTTGGTCCAACACAACACAACTGATCCTGCTTTGGCAAGGAATGAGTTTATGAGGTTATTATCATCGGCTATCATTTTTTGTAAAACTATTTTGGGCTATTCAAAACTTTTATGAAGAAGATTAAAAGTGCTGCTATCAACTGTACTAAAGAAAATATTTTGAAGGTGAGTCTTCAACTATACTCAATGTAAACCAGCATTTTCATACATGCTTCCCAAGTCGTCCAATTATGCTAAATGTGAAGGCTGTTTTGTTATTGAGACCAAGAAATAAGTTTTGAATATTTTAAAATTTTTTATACAATATGTCAATAACATGTATGCCTTTGGAAGAAAACTTTCGCTTGTTGCTAGTGGTTTTGGGCAATATTTATTGAAACTTAAAAGGCAGCATGAATTTTGCACTCTGGAAACACAGGCATTTGCAGATCCTTAAATTCTTAAGTAGAAAATAGTTGAATAAATATTTTGAACATCCCTTGAAAATTTCTTGAGCAAAGATACCACACCATCAGTATTAATTTTGATCTAAATTGGGTGAGCATAATAATTTTGACTGGTTTGTTCCCATCCTCTACATTGGGGAGATATCTCCACACAGGTTTGGCAAGGGAGTAAATTCAATTTACATAGTGGTAACTGTGGCCCCCCTCAAAATTCTAATAGTGTTTTAAAATGAGACTTTATCTGTGGGTACCAGGCTCTGTGAGCTAACTTTGCCCCAAAACCGATGGATTGAATTTAGGGTTAAACTCCCGAATTTTGAAACTTATCCTGAGGAAGATCCAGATCTTATGCTTGAATGTTTAGTTAGGGTATCTTATATCTTACATGTCAATACTTTATTCACTGATTAATTATGTGAACTACTTGCTTAGGTGGCGGTCAACATGCCGGGCCTGGGCCGCAATCCTCTAAGCCCCATCAGTTCGGCTTTACCTGTGAAATATGCGGGAAATCCTTCAAACACCGCAACTCTAGATACAACCACATGCCTACCCATTACGGAGTGACAAAATGTCCCGTCTGCCATATTGTCCTTGGTCAACGAAGTAACATGAAGCGGCACCTGAGACATGTACACAATATAGATTTATAGACTTAAGTCAGTCAGATAATAGTAGTGGAATGTGCATTAATATTTGTTGTGACTGATAGCACATGTCAAAAAGACTTTCAATGGCATTGCCATCTAGTCAGAGCTTATTTAGTATCAGACAAAAGGGTAAAAAAAAAAATTGTGTTTTTACTTTTTCTGATTCTGTCTGTGATGTTCTGTTCAGTGTGTTCCTATTACGTAAAACTGATTGTTTTTCACTCATAGTTAGATCATTCTCTTGCTGTTGTTTGGCACGGTCATGGTCTGTTTGTAATATCCAGCAGATGGTTTGGCTCCGAAATGGTGACCAACACCTGTGCTGTAGGAATGTTCAGCCGCAACGCTGCAAGTTAAACTCTAGATCTTGGCACCTGTAACTCGGCGTCCTGTAATTTGTGCCCCCTAATAAACGCCCACTTGAGTTAGTCTCTGCTGTAGAATCTCTTGGCTTTGGCACTCTTCTCCGACTCAGAAGGCGACCCCTTTCGCTGCAACCAGCACGCGTCGCGTACCAGTGTACCAGTACGCCGCCCCCTAGCGCCGTGCACCCCACCCCCTCTCCGGCCCTTAGGGGAGGGCCCTGAAATCCAGCCGGTCTCAGACAGTGCTCGGTGCCCGGCCCCAGCCCCGGCCGGGCGCGGCTCGGAGCCCAGCGAGGCCAGCGTTGTCTAAGTCTTGCCCTCCCTTGGTTTCCCAGGTCCCCCAGGACCCCGCGTGCGGCCGCGGGGGCGCGGCGGGCCGCGGTGGGTCCGCCCCCCGATGCGACCCCCGGCCCGGCCCCTGTCCAGGAGGCCGATCTCGCTGCTGGACGCGAAGCAGGCCCACAACCTGACCAAGGCCGACGGCCACGGCAAAACGTGCCTGCAGTGCCGGCGGAAGGGGCGCGTCACGCAGCGCGGCTCGTACGTCCAGACGCGCTTCAAGTGCCTCGAGTGCGACGTGACCTTGTGCCGCAAGAACTGCTTCTACGAGTTCCACAAGGAGCGGGGGCTGCCCGCCATGCCCTTCCCCTACCTCGCCGTCGCCTCCGTCGCCTCCGTCGCCGCCATGGCCCACTTGCCGTCCTGAGCACTGTAGGACCTCGTCGACGACTGCCGGGGCGCCTCGCTCGCGCCGCGGGATGCGCGCTGGACGTGCGGTTCAAAACGGAATAGAGCCGTTTTGTTTTCAAGTTTTCCACAATCTTTGTCGCGTCTTAGGCCGCATGCACGATGGAGCTGGCAGGGATGTGTGTGTGTGTCACTGAGGGGCGGGCGGTGCTGGCGGTGGTGGAAACCCGGTATACGGGCCTTTTGTTTGCCGTCCTTGTGGGGAAGCTCACGCGTCTGTTCGCTGCACTCCTCTCCTCACAGTGGTCCCGCTCTGCAGTCACTCTTTTTGTGCAAACAATTCTTTGATATTCCTGGCGCAAGCTGCGCAAGCCAGGTAAAGCCCTGCTCGGTCACGAAGTTTCGTTTGGGAGTTAAATTGGCAGTATTGAAATACCTCCTTTCATTTCATTAATTTATTTTTGTTTGTTATAATTTTTTTTGAATTATTAAAGTTATGAAATTGGTAAATGCAGAGCTTTGGAGGGCGAAGGGTGTGCAAGGGTGTGACCCTGTCTTGTATGACGCAGCTCGCAAGCTCCGCCCGACTCCTCTCGTGGCCCTGCAGTCCCTGCAGTCGGCCCCCGGCCCGCGGCCGTCGCCGAGGCCGTCGTCGAAGCGGCCGAGCCAACGCGCCGCGCCGCGCGACGCCCGCGACCCCCTGAGCCTCGACGGCGGCGACAGGCAGGCGACGCAGTCGCGGCGGGCGGCCTGGCCCGTCCCGCCCCTGCTGAGCCACGTCTGCGCCGCGTGCGGCAAGGGCTTCGCGCACCGCGTGTCGCTGACGCAGCACCGGAAGACGCACGAGGGCTCCACCACGTGCCCCGTCTGCGGCAAGGTGCTGAACCGCAAGCACGACATGAAAATCCACCTGGCGCTCATGCACGGCCAGCAGGCCAACAGCGGCGTCTGACGAGCAGCACGCTGCCGGGCTCGCGCGTAGTTCAGGATGTCCGGGACGGTGTCCGGGGCCAGCAGGACGAGGGCCTTGTCGGCGGAGCGCGGCGCTGGCGCCACCACGACGGAGCACGGCGATGGCCTTGGCGATGGCCGAGCACGGCGGAGCAGTGAGCCGCTTTACTAAGGCCTTGTTGTGTTCCACAGCGCCAGTGCCCGGCCCGCCCAGCTGGCAGTACCCCCGAAGCCAGATGAGCCAGATCGGGATGGTGCCGCCCATGCCCATGCTGGCCATGGCGCAGACCTCGCCGAGCCGCGCCGTGCCCCAGAAGCTGGCCGGCCGCCAGCGCTACTCCTGCCAGTTCTGCGAGAAGACGTTCGCGCACCGCATCTCGGTGGCGCTGCACATGAGCTGCCACCAGGGCAAGACGGTGTGCCCCATCTGCCACAAGGTGTTCAGCCGCGCCTACAACCTCAAGCTGCACCTCAACACCGTGCACAACGACGACAGGCTGCAGGCGGCGCACCAGGCCGGCCAGCAGGCCGCGCAGCAGGAAAAGAGGGAATACTTTCCTTGAAATGGAGAGTTTTTCAAATACGTTTTTCCGCTTGAAAGTATATTGTTCCATTGGTCAGTTGTTAAGGTTGTTATAGAAGAATTCGACTTTTATCAACCCATTGTTCATAGAGTTTTTTTTTCAGTTCTTTTTCTTGTCAATTTGTGGAACATATTTTTGTAACTGCAGTTCCATACCCCTTTCCTAGCCGTAATTTTGGCCAGTCTGCACTTGACCTCATGTCACCACACTCTCATTTAACTTGTGAGTGTTGTGGAGCAGTCATGTCACCCTGATCACTAGCCCTAGTTTTGTACAGTAGTCTAGTTTTCGTCAGTATTACTATTTGTTATAGTTGGTGCAGTATGGCACCCCGCATGACGACGTGTTTTGTCCAACGATTTATATTTTGATTGTGAATAAAATTTTCTTTTGATTTACACTGCTGGTTGTGATTCAACATCTGCCACCACCACCACACACATCCGCTGGTGAAACAAACTTTTTCTTATCGCTGAACGAACCGAGACAAACCTCTGAGGATTTGCTTTTGATCTGGCCTCCCCCGGCCTGGGCGTCCTGCTCGCCTCCACCGAGAGTTCTCTCTCTCTCTCTTGGGGGTGGAAGTGGAAGACCCCGCCGACGTCATGGACGTCATGTCACTGACGGCATTGCCTGTCCTGCCTCCAGCGCTGCAGTGGGTGGCCACGGAACTGCCCCTCGGACCCAGCGCCGCCCGCCCCGGCCAAGGCCACGGACAAGGCCACGGCCACGGCCGCCTCGGTCAAGGCCGTCTGGGTCAAGGTCGCCTCGGCCTCGCGACGGCACGGACCGGACTCGGGGGCGGACCCTTTGTGTGCGACACGTGCGGCCGCTCCTTTAACCGCAACGACTCGCTAGCACACCACAAGACGATCCACAAGGGGAAGACCAAGTGCCCCGTGTGCAATGTGCTGTTCACGCGCAAGTACACCATGAAGTGCCACCTGTTCACCGCGCACGGCATCAAGTGAAGCGGAGAGGTAAAGCCGCCAACCGCGCCAGTCTCTCTATCATTCTTTTCACTTTGTACGGCCGTTTCAATTTTCTTACTTTTTTTTGTGACTAAAGAAAATCAGTTGTTGAAAGTCGTGCCATATTGTCAGTCAGACTTTTTGTACTGAGGTTCTGTTTGAAGTGGGTTGTCAGCCCTTCACCAAAGTTGTATGTGACTGGGATGTGCAGCGAACGCCATCCGCTACTTTGTAAACCTGTCGCCCTGCCACGCCAGTATTTGAACTTAACAATAAACAACGTTGGTACTGTTGCCGGGTCCTTCCTTGAGCATGTCCCACTGATGTGTCTTTCTCTTCTTGTCTCTAATCGAGGCCCTTTCTCAGAACGAGTGACTTAGACCGTTGGTTGAAACGGACATAGCCTGGTTTTGGTTTTCCAGCGCAGCCATGCGAGGGCCTGGACGGGGATGTGGTTCCAGTGTGGTTCCGGGCTGCATGGCGGCGTTGGCGGCGTTGTGACGTGGACGCGTGATGTTGCAGTGCCCGAGGCGGACGGGGCCGCACAACTCCCTTGGTCCCAGCCCCTCCTGCAGCCCCTGCAGCCCCTGCAGGCCGTGCCGGCGCGGCGCCAGCCCTCGGCCCAGTCCGCGGCCCAGCCCGACCTGCCGCACACGTGCGACCTCTGCGGCAAGAGCTTCCGCATCCGCGACTCGCTGTACAAGCACCGCAACGTGCACCGCGGCAACACCACCTGCCCCATCTGCCGCGTGGTGCTGAACCGCAAGACCTACCTGCGCCGCCACCTGGTGGCCGTGCACGGCGTCGACCTGTCCGGCAAGGTGTCGTGCCCCGTCTGCCAGGAGGAGCTGGGGCCCGGGGAGCGGCTGGAGGACCACGTGCTGGCCGTGCACGCTGAGCTGCCGGGGCCCTAGGCCGCCCCAGGCGCCGCAGCCACGAGAACTCGCAACTTCCCTCCGAGCGGCTGTGGAGCCCTTAGCGCGTGATGCGGCATGGTGGTGGTGGGGGGCAGGGCCACTGCCTCAGGGGGCGTCTGTATGTCCCGTGGACCGTCCAACACCTTGCTCGGTGAACGCCACTGTGAAACTGTCGGCCCGGCCCTCCTAGGCCCTCCGTGGTACACGCCATGTTCTTGTGAGCGCGCCCTGTTCTGGACATGTTGTCCACGGTTCTTATAGACGACCCCCTGTCCGCAGGTTGGCCCGCGGGGCACGTCCAGGCCTTGGTGCAGGCCGTGGTGGACGATGGCCACGATGGCACTCCGAAGCCGTACCCGTGTGACGAGTGTAGCAAGTCGTTCAACCACTCGAGCTCCCTGGCCAAGCACAAGTATGTGCACCGTGGCGCCACCGAGTGCCCCATCTGCCACGCCGTCCTCAGCAGCATCTTCTACCTCAAGCAGCACCTGGGCGCGCTGCACGGCATGGAGGGCTCCTAGCGGCGGCCCTGGAGGCGGCCCTGGAGGCCCCCCGACCGCGTCCTCCTCTTACTTGTTGACTGTACACCGACTTTGTGTTCGCCTTGCAATAAACGAGTGTGTTAACTACCCCCGCTGGCCTAACCGAGTTCCCTCTGGTTCCCCCTCCCTCCCCTCCGCCCACAGACGCGCAGGGCATGCCGTACGCTCACCCCACCGCCTTGTGTTGGCAGACTCCTCGTCGTGGTGCTGGACGGAGTCGTTCCCGCCTCCGATGCCGCCGCCGAGGCCGCCGCCACTCGTTGGGGCGGCGCGGCCCGCACCAAGGCCCGCACAGCCCCGGGCAGGTTCGACAGGTGGCGCGGCCGGCGCGGCGCCCGGCGCGGCAGTGAGCCCCTTGGGCCGCAAGCGCCACCACTGCGCCGTGTGCGGCAAGGGCTTCAACTACCACGGCTCGCTCCTCAAGCACCGCAGCGTGCACCGCGGCACGTCGCGCTGCCCCATCTGCAACCAGGTGTTCAACCGCACGTCGTACATCAAGCACCACCTGCTGACGGTGCACGAGGTGCCGCCCACCCAGCTGTCCATGTACTACCCGCCCGCCGCCCGCGCCGCCGGCGCCGCCGCCTCGGCCTCCGTCTTGACCTGAATAAACCGATTCACTGCTACAATGCCGTTTGTTTTGCTGTGTTTCCCCCGCCGCCTCCACCGAGGCCTCCACCCACCACCCGCTCGGCGCCCTCCGCCTGGTTTCCTGCCTTCGGCCGCTCATTGCCTGCCTGGTGTTGCAGACGGGACGCTGACGCGGCTGCCGGGGCTGCCGCGGCTGACGGGGCACCGCAACGCGGAGGGGCTGTTCGAGTGCCTGCTGTGCGGCAAGACGTTCCGGGTGCGCCGCTCGCTGCGCCAGCACATCAGCGTGCACAAGGGCGCCACGCGCTGCCCAGTGTGCCTGACCGTGCTCAGCAGGCGCGCCCACCTGTACCGCCACCTGGCCGCCGTGCACAACATGCAGCCCGAGCAGTCCTAGGCCGGCCTCACTCTCAACCAATTGCCCCGTCACTCTGTCTCCCTCGCACCCCTGCGGGAGGCCCCACGAGTGCGACAGAGACGGAGCGATCCTTCGGCGTCGGCAGGGCCTTGGCAGGGCGTGCTGATTCGCCTACCGAACAAAGTGGCCGCACATCCCCTTGGACGACGTGCGTGGGATGACAAGAAGATTAAGGCGCTTGCCCCCCTGCCGGACTCCGGCGATGGCTAAAGGAACTTATTTTGTGTATTGACGGGGAGTCGTTTTTGCGAATACTCCGTGCCATTTTCGTTCAGGTAGTGTAGCCTTCTCCCGAGAGATGGCACTACAGTCAGGTACTTCCAAAAAATAAAAGGATCCTAGTTCTGGGTGGAAATCCCTATACCTGCCGTGCATTCTGGCCGGTGACGGACAGCGCGGTGCGTTTTGGCAGTGTCGATGGCCAGACAGTGCGGCGCGGCCGGTGCAGCCCGGGCCGCGCCGTGCGCTCGAACAGATGTCATTGTCCGTCTCTGTCTCACCCGCGCAGTGCAAGCGAGACGGCCGAGGCGAGGCATGGAGGGGGAAGCAGCGGCCGACTGGCGAGGCGCGCGGCTCACTGTGGAGTCCGATGCGCTCCAGTTTCCAAATTTAAAATTTGAATGTTGCAACTGAGTGGTGGCGGTTGGGTACCAACAATTTCCTTTTTCTTTTACGATCATTTTGACACCAGTTCAACATCGATTTGAAATCGGGGATAAAATTTCTCCTACGGCCTTCTGCTCCTCTTATCAGACTCTGACGATGAAACGTGTCACCCCTTTCCCCTCGCGTCGTCCTTCTCGCCAAATTGTGGCCAGCGTGACGCGTTCAAGTCGCGAGGGACTCGTTGGTGGACTGGCTGGATCGGAGTCCGAGCAGGCCCGGCACCTCAGCCGGCGCGCTCCAGGTCATCGTCTGCAGCTCCGGCTTACCGCGGGGGGAGAGGGGGAGGGGGAAGGCGGCGAAGACAATGCCCGGCTACAGGCGAGCTGTCTGTCATAAATGTGTCGCGCCGCACCGGCCGGCCTGCACCGAGTTCGGATACCTGCCACCGCGCCACTGTCCAGAGCCCCGCCAAACGACCGCCAACTTCAAAATGGGTTGAAGGGGGAAAAAACAGTGCTTTACTTGTGCAACTCACCCTCAAAAAGTATCAATGATAGAACAAATCTGAAGGTAGATTTGTGTAGGGGAAAGACGTGCGCATTCAGTGTGACCCCTTGCGGAATGAAATTCCGAGATCATGTCTCTCAAATCTGGAGTACAACTTTGAACCAATTTGTGCCCAACTTTGACCACCTATTTGGACTACAAGGAGTGTAGGCACGAACCTCGGAGGGGTCACACTGAATAGGCGCTCATTTTTACTGCACGAATATGTAATTGGTTTTGATCCACGTATCGTACTTTTGACGGGTGAGCTGCACGAAGTTTGGACATTTCAGGGTTCAATAACTTTGTTCAAATTTGAACTAGCGTCATAAAAATTTGAGAGGAGCATCATAACTGTGTTCCCAACATGTGTTTCAAATTTGAGCCTAATCCGTTAACTTAAATTTAGGGGGGCAATCGCCTTAAATGGACTTTGAGTCATTCTGTGCGTTTCTTCGCCTACGGGGCGGCGTCCGAAGTCGGCCCCCTCGCTCGCGGCGGAGCGTAGCGCCTTACAGACGCGGGGTAGGCCAGCCCGCTCGACTCGCGCGTCCGGCGGGCGGGCCCACCCTCCGTCCGTAAGGCGCTAGGCCCGCTGGCCCGCTGGCGCGTTTGATCGCCATCTCTCTCTTTATCTCTTTGTCGTGGTCGTTGTTGTTTTCGTCTCTCCTCTCGATTACCTTAGTGCCAATTGGTCACCTTCGACGTGTGGCGTTTATCATACCATTGTCGACATGTCTGTCGGTTTGTCTTTCAAAGTTCTGTATGTCACGTGGATCTCATAGTGTACGATTTACTGTACTGTGTAAGAACTCCAAAGAATTGAATTATTTTATTTATGGATAAGTTCCATTTGACTAACTTGTAAAGAATTTTCCACCATTCCTCCATGATTCCTCATTCTAGTGGTTTTATCTCATAACTAGTCTCTTTTATTAATCATGTTATTGTGTATTTCTGTGTCAACTTCTATTTTTTACTATGATAATTTTGTCAGGATATTTTTTTAGTCATTCCAACTAGTGTTTGGTTGAAGATGTCAGTATTATCTTATTTGTCTCTCTTTATCTCAAAAATATATGAAGTAATTGGTATTTATCTGCACTGGCTTTTAGTGGTTTCTTTTTCTGAGAAGATGAACCAAATTGCATCAAGACAAGCTCAATTTTTTTATTTTCTTCACCTCCATACAGAACAACAGTTTCAGCTTGACTCAAAGAATCTTCTGAAAGGCAATCAGAATTGTTGTCTACGGTACTGACTGTGTGCTTCGTCTTGCAGGGCTGACCAGAAGGTTCACCTGCAACGTTTGTGGCAAGACTTTCTCCCGTGAGGACTCTTTATCTTCTCACCGCAACGTCCACAAAGGAACAACACAGTGCCCCATCTGCAACGTGGTGTTGAGTCGCACCGGCCACCTCAAGCGACACTTGCACATGGTCCACGGAGACACCTCCAGCCTTCGACCCGCTCGTCTTTAAGGGCCAACTCCTTGTCAACTTTTTAAGAACGTCTTGTTTTTGTTTTGAATAAAATATTCTAAACCATCAACAACTCCTTCCTGACGCTGTACCTTCAATTTTTTTGGTTGCTTTTTAGTCTGTGTGAAAAAAGCCTTTGCTCCATTATTCGAGAGCAATTCGTTTACGTTGTAGTTGAAAAAATTTCTTCAGCAGCATGTGACAGTCTTGCCCTCGACAGTGTTCTCACCGGTGCCTTGTGCTTGCAGAGGGCGCGGGCGGCGCGGCCGGTCCCAAGAAGTACGTGTGCAACGTGTGCTCCAAGTCCTTCTCCCGCGAAAACTCGCTGTCGTCGCACCGCAGCGTCCACAAGGGCGCGACGCAGTGCCCGGTGTGCTTCACCGTGCTGAGCCGCACCGGCCACCTCAAGCGCCACATGGCGGCGGTGCACGGCATCCTCCCCAACGCCGCCAGCTGACGTCACCGTCGCCGTCCTCCAAGGAAGAGTTTTTTTTTTAAATAAATTTCAATTTTAAAAAAAATCAAAGTTGTGTTGTTGTGTTTTCCCTGAGATTAATCCTGTACATACATAGACATGAGGAAGAGACTATTTAAACCTAGGTGAAAAATAAAAACATTATTCACACCAACATTCCATTTCCACCAATTTTTTTTTCAAATACCAAATTTGCCCAAAAAAAAACTGAAAAATGTCAAATGGGCCTAAAGTAAACACACTCCATCCGATACGACAAAATTTCCTCCCGAATCGACGTTCGATCGACGTCAGCGACTTCAATTTTAAATAGATGCGGTATCGATTTCCCTCTCGGGCTGGTGCGTCACCGAAAAGTAAGCGGGTCGCTAAACTGAAATACTTCAGGATTCGCACTTCCCTCACAGAGCCCGGAGTCTTATACAGGACTCTATGCCCCTATTTTGCCCGATGAATTTCTCATTGTGGTGTAAGGTACAACATCCAAAAGTATGACAAATTTTCCAACCACCAATTCGTGTTTCCACACGGTCCACACCGACAACAGACATCAAAACCGTCAATTTGTAGTTGTAATTCATCAATTTGGAATATATCTCACAGTTTTTTTTAGTTTGCTTTGAAAGGTAACTTTAGACACAATTCATAAGTTAGATTGCATTTCAAGGGAAGGATTATGCGCATAACATTGCACTGTGTGTGATCTAACCTCGTTGATCCACGTTGAAGCAGCTACAAATTTTCTTTTTCTTAATAAATTTTAACTTTTGACTTTATATTCAAGTTTCTGTTAGTATTTTTAACAACTTTATCAAATTTCAACCCTTGACATGCATTCTTTGGTGCCTTTCATTAGATGTAATATTTGGTTAGGGACAAGTACTTTGCATCTATTTGCATTTGCTTTACAGGATCTGCCTGGCGAAATGGACGAAACGGAGGAAATGGATTTTAATTACTATTCAGACTCTGATGATGCTGGAGATGAGGAGCACAAGCGCTTACTAGCTGCTATCTCCAAACTGGATAAGCGTAAACGGTACGTCAATGTCACTTCCATGAAGTTTTGCATAGACGTATGTTCAACCTAATGTTCCCTCTTATCCCTTATCAGGGTGGTTCCATCAGAGAGGAAAGAACCAAGCTTGCAAGTGTCTGAATTTCATCTCTCAAAAGGAGAAGACAGTGTCGATACAACTGTGAATTTACGTCACCTCGCTAAATCATTGAATTTAGACACAAATCAAGTAGACATTATCCGCAAACTTAGGGCAACCGAGAAAAAGACTAAGACATTACCAAAACCTCTTGAAAAGCCTGTTGCAGAGAGGGTAAGCTGTGTTGTATATAATATTCTATCCTATCATGCATTGATTGTTTAACTGGTTTGTTTTCTAATGGTGGCTGTAATTGCTTGTCTCAGATAAAGCGAGAAGTATCATTTAAGAATGTACAAAAACAACTAGCACAGTGGGATCCCATAGTTATAAAAAATCGAGTGTCAGATGATCTCGTATTTCCACTCAATAGGGCAGCAATCAATCAGATCAATCCCAAGGAATTTTTAGACCCAAATCAGGTACATTTTATTTACACCAATAAGATCTTCCAAGTGCAGCTTCTGCTGAATCAGTTTTCAAGTTCTTTAATTTTGGTGTCTGTGTTTTGATACAATATTTCAGGGGGCAACTGAGCTAGAGAGAGAAATTGCTGCTGTCCTCAATGGTAGTGAAAGTGTGCAGAAAGAAAGAGAAGTGAGTCTTGTCAGTTTATTTTAATTTCTGAAAACAAATCTGATCAGTGATATTTTTGATAAATGCAAAATGAAATTACTGTAGTTTAGCCTTGATTACTTTCTTTTTTGCATCTAGGAAGAGGAAGAGTTTCCTTTAAGTCTTGAGGAAATGGTAAAACGACGCAAAGAGTTAGCACGATTACGAGTTCATGAATCGTATCGTAATGCAAAGGCCCATCGTCAGAACAAAATCAAGAGTAAAAAGTAGGTCAACCCATAATAGTACCACTGTAATAGCTCTCATTTTATTCCATTATATACATCAACTACTTCTGTGCTAAAGGTTTCATCGCTATGAACGTCGTGAATGCATCCGCAAACAAATCAAAGAATTTGAGGAACTTCAGGAAAAGGATCCTGAAGCTGCTCTTGAACGATTGGCTGAAATTGAAAAGCAGAGAGTCTTGGAAAGAGCTTCTCTGCGCCATCGCTCAACTGGAAAATGGGCCCAAAATCATGCAGTCCGTGCTAAATATGACAAGGAGGTAATACCTCTCAAAATATCATTAACCCCCACTTCTCAGAGCTAATATTTTCTTTAATTTCAAGTTGCCTTTTTTTTTAGAGTCGTCAAGTCTTGTCAGAGCAGTTGCAAATTAACAAGGATCTTACTCAAAAAATTCAAGTGGATTCGGAAAGCAGTGAAGATGAGGCCCCTGATAATAATGTTGCCCCCTCAGACAACCCTTGGATGTCTCAAACAAAGACAGAGGAAGATATTGATGCTTTTCTCAGCGGTTATAGAAAATACTGGGAAGAGAAAGGAAACAAATCAAAAGAAAACCCTGAAGAGGCACCCAGTAATGGGAAAGCATTAGAAGCATCTTCTGATGATGATATTGAGGAAGTAGTCCTGGATCCCAAAGCTAAAGCACTAATGGCAAGTGCTGTGGAATCTTACTCTGAAATTCCTAATGCCATGCAGAAAATTTCTAAGCCTCAAAAACTAGAGGTTTCATCTAAAGCTCTTCCTAAAGGTAAAAAAGAACTTGAAACCAAATCTGAAGATAACAAAAAATTAAGTTCTGTGTCCAAAAAGAAGCTTAAAACCAAGTCTGAAGATAACAAAAAGTTAAGTTCTGTTTCTGAAAAGAAACCTAAAACCAAGTCTGAAGGTAGCAAAAAATTAAGTGCTGTGTCCACTGGAGGCAGCTGGACTGTTACACCACTTGAAACAAGCACCTCAGATCATTTTCTTCATCATATGTTTGATGATCTTAATGAGAAGATGACAGCCAAGGCTCAAAAGAAAATTGCAGGCTTAAAAGCAGAAATGGGGAAAGATGTCTCTAAAAAGAGGAGGTCGAAAGCTGTAGATCCATCAAGCCTGTTAGAATTAAAACGACAGAAACTTAAAATCGATCTTGACGAAAAACTTGATGAAGGCACGGGTGATAGCCCTGCCGATGATGCTGCTGATCAACTAGCTGAGAAAATCAAACTGGCTTCCTCTTTGACCTCAGAGAGCAAGGTAAGTTTGTTTTTGTGTCATAATGCTGCTTGTTCACACATAAGTGTAAGAAAATTAATTCTTGAACCCTTTACATAGAAATCTGCTGCAGCTCCTGAGCTAGACCCTAAAAAGTTCATGAAGACTGCCCAAGTCAAGCTGAAAACTGCCCTCCCTGATGAAATTACTGGAGGGGATGAAGGTCTAGATGACAGTGATGCAGAGGGTGGACAAGATGAGAAGCACCTGACCATTTCTGAAGCATTTGCCGATGACGATGTAGTTGCTGATTTCAGGTAGTTTTCTCTCAAATCCTATTGCCTCCCCTCCTCAATCATCTGATTGGCTCTGTATTAAAGCAACTCAATTGATTTAATTTTTTAGTCAGGAGAAGCAAGATGCTATTGAGAAGGATAAACCGGAGGACATCAACCTTGTCCTTCCTGGTTGGGGTAGCTGGGGTGGCCACAACTTGAAGCCAAGCAAGAGGAAACAAAGAAGATTTATGGTCAAAATGCCGGAAGCACCTCCACGGCGCGATGAAAACAAGGGAAATTTAATAATAAATGAAAATGAGGATAAACCAGTGAGAGAACATCAGGTATGGTTCTTTTTCCATCTCCATTGCCTACTTAATTAGTTCTCCTTGTTTCCTAATGGCTCATTTGTTTGTGTTTGGTCCACTTTAGGTCAGCAATCTCCCATTCCCTTTCACCAGTGTTAAAGACTATGAAGCGAGTGTGCGGGCTCCTATTGGCAACACATTCATTCCCCAGACTGCTCATCGTAAGTTAATCAAACCCTCGGTTAGCACTAAAATGGGAGCCATCATTACTCCAATGGATAAGGAAGAACTGGTGAAGATGAAGAAAAAGTGACATGTTGCATTGGTGTTTAGGAAATACAAATAATTATAGGTTTATAGATGTTTCTAATATCTAGTGTTATTGCAAATAAATTAGTAATTCATATGACTTTTGTTTTGGAGTCTTTATACACTGCATTCCACCTTTTCTGAGCACAGTTCATACTTTGTGAGCATGCTCCTCAGCAGATTCTTCCATCTGGCATCTAAACAAAAAAAATTGACCTCTTTTGGGATGAAACTTATTATAGGTCCTATCAAGTGAGAATTTGGGTAATCTAAAATCAAAAATACCACAAGAAAAGAAATCACAAGGTTCATATTAGAGAGCGTTACACACTAGCCTAAACACATTAAAACAAATAGATAAATAATTTACACAAAAATAAAAGAGAGACGGAGGCAATTGCAGTAATCACAGATAGCTGTTTGGCCGGGTCCTACAGGGCCTTCTTGAGCCTGGCGGCGCGTTCGGGGCCCAGGATGCGTTCCTTGATGAAGGGGTGCTTGTACAGCAGGGTGCCCACCACGGCGCCGGCGCAGGCGCCCGCCCAGTACACGATGAGGTGCTCGTAGGCGGTGTGGCCCTTGCAGCCCAGCTTGAGGGCCGTCGCCAGCGCGGGGTTGAAGTAGCCGCCGGAGAAGTGGAAGGCTGCAACCGGCAAACACGAAGGGGGCTACAGTCACACCGCGACAGCACTAGGGAGAGCCGCCTCCACCGGTGGTGGTGTCCTTACCCGCCACCACGAGGGAGGTGCCGATGAAGGACTCGATGATGCTGGCGAACTTGGGCTCGATGTCGGCGATGGCCCTGGAGGCGATGCGGCACAGGGCGGTGGCCACGCCCTCGATGGCGGCGCCCAGCAGCACGGGCACCTGCCGAATGGAATGCCAGTGCAGTGGTCTGTCCCTCTCGCACATACAGGGGACGCCCTATGAGTGCGAGAGAGACAGCGACGGCAACGACTCCCGGAGTGAGTCTGCTGTCCTTGTCCGCCACGTGACTTATCCGGCCGGCAGTGGTCGGCGCGGCCGGGTGTTTGGGTGGCGCTCTCGCTCTGGCGAGGCGTTCGCTGGGAACGAGGAGTCGGGCGGCACGGCCAGGGCGGCCGGCCGCCACGCTCCGCCTCGCCGCGCCGCATCGCTTGCTCGGGACCTGCACCAGTGTACCGCCTGCGAGGTAGGCCACCGGTCGGTCCCGCAACACACCGGTGTGGAGACGGTGGCCTACCCTGCCCCTGTCGTCTCACGGCGCCGAGGTAGGCCGCCGTCTCCACACCGGTGTGTGGCGGGACCGCCCGGTGGCCTACCTCGCAGGCGCTAAAGGAGCCCGCTTACCTGCAGGTCGGCGGTGCACTGCTCGAAGGCGCGGTTCTTGTGCGTGTCGCAGAGCTCCAGCCACCAGATGACCTGGATGTACCTGGAACGCGTCCGAGGCGGTCAGCGGACTGCTTCCGAGAGTCGTGTTCGTCGCTCTGTCTCTCTCGCACCTATACGGGACGCGCCGTGAGTGCGAGAGAGACAGAGCGACGAAAATGATTCAAGTCGCCGCAGTGGCACGGCTAGGGCGCTCACCTGAAGATGAGCACGCCGCCGGTGAGCTGCGCCCAGATCTTGAGCGCCGCCACCCTCACGTCGGTCTTGCCGTCCAGGACGTCCTCGAGGTGCGTGTACGGGCAGGCCGTGGCCTCGCCCCACTCGTTGGACCACCACACCGTCAGCGCGAACAGCACGGCGGCGTAGGCGGCCACGCCGAAGTTGTCCGCCACTGGAACAGCATCACCGAGCACGTGGAGCTCTCCATCGCCTAGCACGTGGAGCTCTCCATCGCCGAGCACGCCGTCCGGCACACTCGCGGCCGCGAGACTGTGCCCAGTGTGCCGCGGGCGCCGCGTTGGCCCCGAGTCCACGAGTCGATGAGTCGATCGGGAGCACCGAGATTAGATAAGGGCGCGGTGAGGTGCGATGGCGCTGTCCGGCCGGCCCAACTTTTTATTTTAATTTTCTTGGGAACGGTGATAACGGCGCATCCGGTGGCGCCGCCGCACTTTTTGTTATTAATGTCTTGGGAACGGCAAGTGGGAACGACCGCGCTGCCGAGGGGGAAGGCACAGGCCCCTGCAGGCTGACTGTGTCTCTCTCGCACCCTCGGGGGACGGCCCATGAGTGCGAGAGAGACAGAGTGAGGGAAGCGGGAACTGGGCATCCTTACCGATGATGAGCTCGAAGCAGCAGGCGCACAGCTCGGCCGTGGCGATGGCCTCCAGCAGCAGGCCGCGCACCAGCGGCCGGCTCCGCGTGCGGCGCACGGCCACGCGCCTCCCCACCGACGCCATGAAGCACGTCAGCGCCATGACGAACAGCGACACCGTCAAGCAGGACTGGTCCGCCATGGTGGCTCCCTGCAACGCGCGCAACGCGCAACGCGTCAGTGGGATCTCTTTAGACCTTTTCCCACCGCGAGCACCGCGTCGACGAGCACCACGACGACGATGTCGCGCTGCACTCACCTTTGCTTCGCCCCGAGCGCGTCGAGTCCCTTAATTCTGGATGTCGAAATAGCGCCCCGTCCGGTCCGCCGCGGTCCGCCGTCGGCGTGCTCACAGTGTCCCCGCCATACCGCTACCGCGCGCCGCCTCGCCTCTAGCCCAAGTGTCGTCGCGTCGCGCGCAGCATCGGGCGCCGTGGACCCGGTGCCTGTGGTGCCTCTGCGGTGGCGGCCCAGAGGCGGGCCCAGAGGCGGGCGGGGTCGCGGAGACGGCCGCGGCCAGGCACCCAGCACGCCGACCAACTATATTAAGCTACAGCTCCCCTGCGCCGCGGAGCTGCGGCCCGCGGCCCCCACAATGAGCAGGAGGGGGAGGGGCACAGCGGCCAAACGGCAGCCACATGTGACAGATGCCCCCCTCCCCCTTCCCCGAGCTGCTGCTCAAACGAGACGACGTTATTCCTGCCAAAGGCAGCAGCATCCTCGCAACGTCGCGGTGCCGCCCGAGCCGAGCAAGGTGACGGCCTTCGCCGCGTCCTCCCCGATGCGGCCGATGCGAGGGCGGCAGGGCTGCCCCGTCTCGGCGCCGTCGACCTTGCAGCCGGCTCATTCCGAGAGTCGTTTTCGTCGCTCTGTCTCTCTCACACCCCAGGACGCTCCGTACAGGTGCGAGAGAGACAGGGCGACGAGGACACCTCTCGGAATGAGTCCGCAGCGCCCCGAGAAGAGAACGTCCCCGCCATGCCCACCCTGCCTCTAGGCGCGCCTGCCGAGGTAGGCCTGCCCGCCGGACAGGCGAGCGTTCGCGCTGCCTACCCAGCAGGCTAGCTTGCGGTCCGCGCGCTTCGGGCCCCGGGTTAGCCGCGCAAAAACCGACTGACTCTCTGAGATGTTTGTCAAGTTTATTTCAAAATTGGACAAGGTGCACAAAGAACTCGCAACAGCTGACTGGTTGGGCCGTACAGGTGGCCGACCCCGATGCTGCTGCTTCCTTTCCCTTTGAAATGACCGTCAGGAGGTGTTCTTGGAGGGAGAATGAGGCGACAAGAACCTGGTGAGGTCGTTTATTGAAAGCTCAATGGGTGAATGGGCCCTACGGCCCGGCGCTCGGGCACGGCGGCACGGTTCAGGCCGCGCACTTGGCGCCCCACATGACGCACTTGTTGGACTTGGTGTCGAACTTGGGCTGCAGGATGCCACACTTCTTCTTGGCCCAGTCGCCGTCCTTGCACTCGATGTAGCTGCCGCAGGAGTCCTTGCAGGGAATGCCCTGCTTGGACGAGCCGCTGGCGGGGCACTGGGGCCTCCAGTCGCAGCCGGGCACGGGCGGGCCGCGGGTGGTGGTGGGGGGCGCGGGCGTGGTGGTGGTCGTCGTGGTGGGGGGCGCCGTGGTCAGCCAGTTGCAGTCCACCCTGTCCCAGAAGGTGCACTCGAGCGCCTGGGGGTCGAAGTTCTGCCACGCCATGCACAGCTTGGGGGTCGCCTGGCCCTTCTTGTCGCACTCGAAGTAGGCCTGGCACCGGCACAGGTTGGGCACCTTTCCGGCCTTCTTTTTGGGGCAGGCGGGCTGGCAGCGGGGGTTCACCGTCGTGGGGGCGGCAGTGGGGGCGGCGGTAGTGGCGGGGGCGAGGCCGGCAGCGATTGTCATGGAGAAGGCTGCGGCCGTAAGGCACACTGGAAAAGAAGACACCAAGCGATTTGAGCCCGGAGCATTGGTCAGCCTGCGCCCTGCGGCCCGCGGGCCCACGCCACTGCAGTTGGGCACTCGACGTCAACGGCCGGACGGGCCAATGCGCGGATTGCTGTGATTGCCCGACAAGTGGCCGAGCACTCCGAGCAGGCCCACGGATCAGATAGCAAGCCGTCTACCGGCTTAAGTGTTTTCGCCGGCACTGCGCCGAGGTTTAAATGTGTGATGCGTAGCGTGAAAAAAAAAGCGGTCTCCGGATATGTTTTCCGTGTCCGTTACCATCTGGCTAATGCAAATGCTCTATTGCCATGGTCACCAAATTCAGAAAATGATAATTCATGTGCGAAACCCGAGTGGCAGGCATGACCGGATTCGAACTCTAGTTTGGACTCTCATTCGATGGGGTCTCATCTCTAAGCATTTGCATTGGTCTTAGACCGCGAAGCCACATAGTGTCGCGGAGGATTTGGCTCGGCTGAGGACGTGAAGACTGGCACTGCACTGACAGCCACTGCACTGACAGCCACTGCACTGACAGCCACTGCTGTCGTGGGTGCAGGGTGCAGTGCAGCTCACGCGGGACTCACCGAAGAGTAGGAGACGCGCCATGGCTGCACCGGGTTGTCGGACTCGTTGTCGGAGACTGGGAATGGAATCAAAGGGCCGGCGATTAAGCCCCGACCCGCGCGCCACTTTATCTGCAGATTGGTTCCGAGAGTCGTTCTCGTCGCTCCGTCTCTCTCGTGTCTCTCCGACCCGGCCCACGAGTGCGAGAGGGACTTCCTCAGTGTGCTGCTTCAGCGGCTATCAGGTCTTTGAGGGAATATGCGGAGGGAGCGGCCAGGTGGGTGGGGTCGACGGGGGGCAAGGCAGCCAAGGCGTCGACGCGGTGGACGCCTTGGAGCGCCAGGCCGCGGTGCCGCGGTCCGTGGCGCACTTCACCTCGCCGTGCAGGATCAAAGAGCAAAGTGCACCGCTCCTCTGTCTCTGCCGCACTCAGGGGGCATTCCCGAGGGGTGCGAGAGAGACAGAGCGTCGCAGAGACCCTTCGGAAACTAGTGACGGCCCATACGCGTCAATACAGTCGCATGCGGCTTGTCCCCTCTCGACGCTGCGGACACCACCGCCAATCCCAACGCAGTGTTCTGCGAACTGCCCATAAGCCGAGGCGATCGAAGTCGTTGTCAACGTGTACGTGTACCCGTGTCTTGATTGGCGCGTTTTCCTTGTGACGTGCTGAAATGGTGGCCTACCTTCGGCCCCTCCCCCTCCCCCCCTCCTGAATCCGCGCCTGGTGTGTGTTTGTGAGAAGCATATGCTCGGTGTCCAGTCTATTTGACGTGAAATTAGCTTTCCTATTTCCTGTTGCTCTTGGAAAGGGGGATGGAAATCAAAGCAATAGAGGTTCTCGCTATGAATGTAATAAAAACATTTATTAATCATAATAACTAAAACAGATAAGACAACAAAACATCATCCCTGAGAGCACAACACAAAATAATATTTCTTCATTAGGCTTAAGAAGTATCACATTTCATGCCAGTATACAATAACATAGCTACAAAATTTGAAAGAAAATAAACACTTGTCATACAAAAAACGTCACTAGGTATTTATTTACAAGTCTATTATTAATTCAGAATGATCAGGAGAGCATCTGAAAACACTATCAAGCATTGGGTTGAGTAATAAAATAGATCATGATAAATCAATAATGTTGTAAAAATAAAAACAGAACAAAATACATGAGAAACGGAAAACATAGTCACAAAGAACAAAAATAAACTTGTAAGAAAGAGAGCCTGTACATTGCAAATGAATATGTCAATCAGAACTAATTTTTTCCAGGTATTTCAGGCGACTAGTAGTATAGATTTGTTAAAAAATAAAGGAAAAGTCTATGCTTTGATAAAATACACGCAACAGCTTTAACTTAGTCATACAGTTAACAGTTACTTTTTAATATCTCTGTAAGTCATTGCAAAATAAGGTCTCTACTCATCTTAAGAAAAAGCCCATTGACAAATAAGATTTGAATGGGATCAGTACAGGTACTTCAAAACGGAAGTGAGATAAAAGCTTGCTGAAGGAACTGTAAAGACACATAAACAATAACAAACAATCTAACTGAAAAACTAGCAGTGTAATTAATATCTTAATCAATCAAGCTAAAAAGGAGAAAACAAAATGCATTTGTTATGACCATATGATATATCACAAAAATAACAAGTCTTACACCTATTGGAAACATAAGTACAACAATCTGACTAAGATCAAACTGGCATGATGTTAAATGCAGTTTGTTTGCAGAACTTAGCATTTTATTCACCACAAATAGGACAGTATTTTCATTCAAGTCTGTGATACTGTAAGCAGAGAGAGATCAATAAGGCCCCATAGTTGCAACCCCAAAAAATGGGTTACATCCAGAAAAGTTAACCAGTGTGATGGTGGTTGCTTAGATGTACTGCACCAAGATACGATTTCTGGACGCATTTGAATATCTTCACTGAATTAAATATTAATGTATTTGATACTGCTATCAGGACATAACTGATTGAAAACCCGTTTACTTAATGGCAAAATATAGTTGGAAGAGGAAGTGGATCAAGCAGACAGATATTACTAAGAGGTTGTCTGTAAGAAACTTTGACTCAGTTTCCATCTAGAGGGGCATACAGAAAGTTGACTAGATTTAAATTAAGGTAAATATACAACATTTTTGTGTGTATGGGCAATTGCCAATACTTGCCCAAACTTTGATTGTGAAATTCACCAAGAACAAAATTATTAACAAAGTCTTTGTGTTAACAAAGCTAAATGTTTCTTTTAAAGGCAAAGAGGAAGAAAACAAAGACAAGTAATATTTGTAGGAAAAAATATTTGACAGTTAATGTGACTCCTGCCCATTTCTTAATTTTAAATGAATTGGCCATCAAGCACATTCACAGTTTGTAAGCACCATCAGATGTCTTAAATGACATATTACATCTTCAGTCATGACAAAGTCCCCTATACTACATTGACACTAACAATTTGCTTTCAGATTTTTCAATTTTTCTGTTTAAAACTTAACAAAAAAAAAGGGGGAAAAAAGAAATAGAAGTCATAAAACTAGTTAAGGCACTTTATCCAAGAAATGTAGTTACTTCTTCATTTAGAAGAGCTCGCACCTCATTGCTAAATTCTACCAAGCGAGTCATACATCCTGAAAGAGGCAAGTTGCTCTCTGGTGCAGGAAAAGTGACTGCTTTTGTTTTCTGAAGGAAATCATCGATAGAAACTTCTCTCGTTCGGATTGGTAAATTTTGGGATGAGGTAGGTTCATCTTCAGGTTGCACAGCCAAGCGGCAAAAGAGTTCATCCTCTGTCGAGATGTTGAGCGCTTTCATTAAATCTTTTACAAGTACCCACACTTGGGAAGTTGGTTCACCGTGGAAAGTATAGAGAGGAGGTGGTATAACTTCAGAGGAAAACACATTGATCTCACTATCGGCGTCACTCTCAAAGGACGGAGGGGACTGGAGAGCAACATCACCTCTGTAGGTGACCAAATCTAAAATTGAGAAGAAAGACAAGAAGTTAATAAAGTGGAAAAATGACTTTATACAACCAATAACATTAACAGCTTATGTGACTCACCAAATATTTTTGAAGGCCCATGGTACTTCCATGGAGGAGCATTCAGGCCCTGGACATCTGCTAAATGGTGAGTCAGGAGCTCATAGGCTTCACTATCCGGCTCAACGATAGAAAGTGGTGTATCATTACCATAGGTGGCAAGAGTTGGGTCAGCTCCGTACTCAAGTAATAGGCGCAGCATTTCCACTTGATTAGACTCTGCAGCTTCATGTAACGGTCTGAAGATCAGAAAAACAAATATATAAGAAATAAAGAAGAATCTGTGGTAAGCTACTTAAACTGAAGAGAAAATTATCCATCAGCACTCAAAGTTTAGACGGACGCTTACCGAATTCCACCTATAGCACTGCAACTAACATCTGCTCCATGTTCCAGTAAAATTTTGGACAGGTCCACATGGCCTCGTCTTGCAGCCTCATGTAGTGGTGTGTAGCCAGCATTGTCAGCAACACACGGAGACATTTTCAATTTGTCAATAGCATATTGGGCAACTTCCTGATGGTAAAAAGATTAGATGTTTAAGCAAGGTGGTATAACACAACAACAAAATTCGACCAAACAATTTGAATATCATATACCGCATATCCTAGACGGGCAGCTCTATGTAAGACAGTGTCCCCGTGACTTCGATTAATAACCCAGTTTCGTAAAGTAACTTGAATTTGCTCTTCAGTCAATGGTATCCTCTCAACAATTGGCGCAACCTGAAACAAAAAATTTTCAAATGTTAACAAAAAAGATTATATTGTATTGGCCATGACTTAATAGACCATAAAATAGATAAGAAAATACCTAAAAGAGTATTACCTTTTCTTTTTCAACTGGTGCCTTTTTAACATCCTCTTTCTTTACTTTTTTCTTTTTACTTTTACGTATGTAGTCAAAGCCTGAACGAAACTTCCTTCTTATGACACGCTTTTTGACAACAGTTGTTTCAGATGTTTCATCTTTTAGTAAACTCTTCCTGGCAGCCTCAATTGTATTCATAATGCTTTTGTCATTATCGTTATCATCATTATCAACATCATCATCAGTCCCATCTCCAGATTGTCTTCTTTCAATGTTTTGATTTTTCTTATTCTTTAAATTCAGAACAACTTTACTTCTTCTGACAAGGGCAGCAGTTCTTAACCCAGTTCGAGAGGTGGCTACTTGCTGAGCATTTCGTGGCCGCAAGACTATCCCCTCAATATCACCTGTTCTCGAACTTTTCCTTCCAGATGTCTTTGGTATGACCAAATTTCGTTTTCGTAAGGACATTTGCCTGATTGGTACACTTTCGATTTTTCTCCTAGTTGTGACTGATTTAGATTTACTTTTCTTATTTTCTTCTGTGGCCTGAGATTTAGTCTTTGAGGGTGGCGTTTTCTCTGTGCCAAAAACTGCTCGAATAGAATCTTTTTTCCTTAATGAATTAGTTTTAACTTTTTCTTCTTCATTTAGAGACGTTGTCTCTTTGATATCAGAATTTGCCTGTTTGGATTTAGATCTATCAACAGCACTTGTGGACTTTGTTGACTTTCCAGATGAATTTTGGCTGGTCTTTTGACTACCAGCGATACTCTTGTTTGCTGAGGCTTTAGAGACCTTTTCAACAAGCTGGTCAATAATGCTGTGTTTCTTACCTCTCCTATTAATAAAAGGGAGGGAAACAGAAGATGAAGCATCTTCAGACTCAACATCCACGCAGTTAGATAATGCTTCTGCTTCACTTTCTAGCTTTCGGCAATGTTTCTTTGGAGAGCCTTCCAAGGCAGATTCACTCGTTGAGCAAATAGATGAGGGCTTAGAGTTTTCTGCCTCTGAAACAGCACTTCCCTTGGACATGTTGATTAAAATGTGGGGCATTCGGAGAGAACGTTTGTACTGAAATACTTCCTCCTCCCAACCGGGTCGGAAATCCGACCCATCACCTTTGGGTCGAAGACAGTATGCCTTTTCAACTTCAACAACCTTTGTTCTCAGTCTGATTCTTCGAGTCTCGACGGGAGTATTTTGAATTAGGCTTTTGCTAAGGTACTGAGTGACAGACTCATTATCTGATGACCCAGACTCCAGATGCTGCCTTTTAATTGGAGGGCTCTCTTTTGATGAAGAGCTCCTGGTTTTCCTGGGAGACTTGTTTAAGACGGCTTCAGTACTGAACAGCTTTTTACTACAAGTGTTCTTTGCTTCTTCTGCCTCCTTCTTGACTGACTTTTTGGGTTTGACTTCAGGCGATGTAGATTTGTTGCTTTTGGTCGACCGAGTTTGAACAATACTTTTAGGGCAATCCTTGTCTTGGTTAGAAGCAGAACGACGGGCTTTGTTTCTAGCTAGGGGTTCATCATCACTATCAATGGATGATTTCGAACTTTCACTGTCAGAAATGACCAGGGGCCTTGGTTTTCTCTTAGGGCACGTTCTGGTTTCACTCACACCACTTTTGGAAGAATCTGCTCTGGACACTACAGTCTTCTGGCCTCTTGAAACATTCTTTAAAGAGTCAGGACTAACTGACAACTTTTCTACAGCATTTAAATCTAGAGTTTTATCACAAGAAATGTCAGCCTTGAGGGTTTTGCTTTGAAACCGTCCCTTTGAAGTCTTTTTGGTTTCACTAGCTCCAAGCTCTAATTCAAAGTCAAGGCAGGATTGGGCCCATGCACTTTGGCTATCGTCACCCTCTTCTTTCAAATTCTGAAACAGAGAGATGAAAGTTACAAAGTTGTACAAGATTCAGCACGCAACGCAGTGGTGATTTGGCATGGGTCCGTACCTCGGGTGTGCCCGGTGCCACAGCGGCCTGGGTCAGAGCGGCCTTGACCGTGACGGAGGACGTTGGCGTCGAGAGCAATGCTTCCGGGGCTGCGGGTTCGACGGGGACGGGGGCAAGTGACCTACAAAAACAAACAAAACCAGACAGTTGCAATACATTCAGCACGTTAACCGCGACCTCTTTCCCTATTTTTGCAGCGTACCCTTCGGCGGGGGCGAGGACGGCGGCGGGGGCCGAGACGGGAATGGAGGTGGGGGCGGGGGCGGGGGCGGGCACGGGGGCGGCGGGCTCCATGGCCTCCAGACGGGGCATTCCCTCGAGGCCCGAGTCCTGGCCGGGGCTCCTCAGCACCGAGTACCGCGCGCCGGGGGCGGCGGGGGCGGGCCCCAAGGTGGGCGTCAGGGTGGGCAGGGCTGCGTCGAGGGGCGCGCGGGCCGTCACCTCGGCGGAGTCCAGGAGGTGCTCGTCGTAGAGGGTCGGGGCGCTCAGGCCGGAGGCTGCGGACACGAGATGATGTTAATGGAATGCTCCAACGCGGTGGGCCGGCAAAAGGCAAGTAACAGTGTGTCGTAGTGTACTCACTGGAAGCTTCGCAGGGGTGCTCACTCGCGTCGGCGGGGACCTCGGGGTGGGAGGTGGCGAGCCAGGACCGCACGGCCTCAGCCGCGGCGTCGCCCAGCTGCAACGAGAACAAGAATCAAAGTTAGAACTTATCCCGGCGAATGCGACTAAGCACAGCGGCGCGGAGGTGGCTCCAGCTGCTCCAGCTCACCATCTTCATCTCCGCCTTGGTGCGAATCCGCGGCGCCTCGGGGACGCCGACGTCCGGCGGGGCCAGGGGCGGGACCAGGGGCAGCGAGCGCAGGGAGGGCAGGAGGTAGCCGGTGGGGTCGGCGGCGTGCGGAGGCAGCGCGGGCGCCGAGCTGCTGGGGTACAGCGAGCTCCTGTTGGACGAGAACCTGGGCAGCAGCGCCGAGTGCGAGGAGGACTCGGGCGTGGTGCTGGCCGCCATGGCCGCCACGCCCGTCAAGCTGGGCCGCGCGATGGCCGGCCAGGGCAGCGGCAGCGTGGCCACGCCGGGCAGCGACACCTGCGGGTGCTGCTGCAGGTGGTGCAGGTGCTCCTCGTCCTCGCGCTGTCGCCGCAGCTGGTCCTGCTCCTCGCGCCGCGCGTCGCGCTGCTGGTGGAAGTGCGCCACGCTGAAGTCGGGCATGAAGGGCACGCGGGGCATCACGGCCGTGCGCGGCACGCGCGCCATCATGGCGGCACGGCTGGGCGGCGCGGTCGAGTCGCAGGCCTCGGCCTGCACGTCGCCGTCGTGCTCGGCCTCGGCGCGCCACGCGGTCGAGTCGGCCGAGCGGCGGACGGTGCGGACGGACAGGTCGACCGGGGACACGGTCTCCACGCGCGCCTCCTGCAACAAGGCCACAGAGTACGTCAACGCCACGGTACGCCACGGCCAAGCCAGCGTGTGTGTACACTAGACACGAGTGGCCCGAGCGGGCTCGAGTTGACTGGGACTTACGGCGCGCATCCTCTTGGCGGGCACTTCGCATTCCAGACGCGGCGGGGCGGACGGCGGGGCGGGGGCGGCGCTGGGAGCGGGGCTGGGGGCCGCCAGGGCCGCCCCCACGCTCGTGCTCGCCGGCGTGTGGTGCGGTCCGGGGCCTCTGCCCGAGCTGAAGCTTGACACTGCAACAACAACAACAACATTAGGCCTTAGGCCGACCCCGAGAGGCATTAGCAAGGGGCATCGGCGTAGACTCCGCGCTCCGCAGGCTGCGAGGCTCAGAAGGCAGACTCACCCCTTGCGTGGGACCCGTAAGGGGTGTCTCCGGGCCGGCAGACGGGGCAGCTGCAGGTGGGGTGGTGGTAGGGGTAACTGGGGTGGGGGGTGAGGGGCGGTTGCGGCCGTGCGGCCTGCGGCGTGCTGGGCCGCGCGGGCTGGACGGAGTGCGGCCGCGGCGGCGCGGCCAAGGCGGCCAGGGCGTGGGGCTGAGCGGACGGTGCCCGCTGCGCCGGCTGCCCGGAACCGGAAGCACCGGAAGAGTGCCGCACGCCGTCGGGCTGCAGCGACGCGGGCCGCGGCGGGTAGGGCTGTGAGGCGAAAGGCAGCGACTGGGGCGGCTGGACGCTGCTGCTGGGGGTGTACTGGGGGTTGTACTGGATGATGGACGAGTGGTGGTGCTGTGGGGGCTGTGGGTCCTGCCGGTAGGGGTACTGCGCCGCGGCGCTGGTCTGGCTGGGCTGCGGCGCGGGGTGGTACTGCGAAGCGTGCGAAGCAGCCTGGAGTCGGGACGGCTGGGGCGGCGCGACCTGCTGATGCTGAGGGTGCAGGCTCGGCGGCGGGTAGGCCGCGCCGTGGGTGGCCGCGAGCGGCGCGTAGGTGGGCAGGGGTTGCTTGAAGGAGAAGGCGGGGTGGCTCGCCGGCGACTTGAGCTGGTAGGCGTCGTGGCGGTCGTGGCGGGGGTGCGAGTGCGGCTGGGGGGCGGCCATCTGCGGCAGGCTTTGGTGAGTCTGGGGAGTGTGAGGGCTGGGCTGCTGGGTCCGGTGCGGCTGGGGGGCCGCGGGGAGAACATGATGCTCCTGAGGCCGCTGCTGCCGCTGCGGCGCGGGAGAGTAGATGTGGTGCTCCTGGGTCCGGTGCGGCGCCACGGGCTGAATGTAGTGCTCCTGGGTCCGGTGGGGCGCCGGGGTGTGAACATGGTGTTGGGTACGGTGCGAGACCGTGGCGGAATGCACGTGGTGTTCTTGATGTTCTTGCGTCCGGTGCGGCGCCGCCGGCTGGGCGTAGAGCTCCTGCGTCCGGTGCGGCGCCGCGGGCACTAGATGATCCCTGTGCTGCACGCCGTGCTGCACGCCGTAGCCGCCCCACTCGGGCTGCTGCTGCTGGTCCTGAAGGCTCCGCCACTGCTCGTAGCCGCCGGGCGCACCTGCGGGCCCCGCCAGCTGCGCCGCCCCATGTCTGCCGCCCGCCTGGCCCGACTGGCCGGACTGCCCCGGGGGCTGCGGGGGCTGCGCTGTCTGGTGGGGCGGGTAGCCCGTGGCGTAGCCCGTGTGTGAGTACTCGCTGGAGTACATGTGGCCGGTCAAGGCAGCGGGGAGGCTCCACCGGGCCAGTCCGTGTTACACGCTCTGCGGACAGGCATGTCAGTTAGATAAACTTGAGCGACCCTGGCAAATTGTTGCGTCAGAAACGCTGCCGCAAACACTTACAGGTTTGAGACGTCCATGTTTCACCAGAAGTGAGCCTGAAATCAAAGCAGAGACAACAGGGCGTTAGAACAGCAACTTACGGAGTACACTGTGAGACAAAAGTGAGAGGTGGAGGCGAATAAAGCCTGCGTTGCGGTTGGTCGGGGCGCCGCTAGGCCCGGCAGGGAAGTCAGCGCTTGCGATACTCATTCATCGCCATCCATACGGAACGCGCTCATTCAATCCAATCTCCTCCCCCCCCCCCCCGAAAATGTCTCGGAATGTCGAGCATCCCCCGAGCGGCTCAGACGGCGAGCCAGACAACAGCGGCATTTGGCGCGCTTTCTCGACTCGGAGACTGTCGGAAGGCCTGTCGGAGAGACTCGGAGAGACTCGGGTCGGGGAGACGCGGCAACGCCGCCCATCTCTGCAGCCCGGCGGCTCGCTCGGTCGCTCGGTGCGGCGCGCGGCGCGAGGCGCGGCGAGGTGGGGGCAGGTGGGGGCTCAGCGCAGTGGCTCAGCTCCGAGACGACGGCCTGTCCCGTCCCGCCCGAGTTGCCCGAGTCCTGCCCTGCCTTCTCCCTTCTCCTGCCTTTGAATGACGCGACACGACGACGACCGTCGGCGACACGGCGACGGCTGCAGCGCGCCTTTCGCCCTTTCGGCTTCGACGGGCGTCTTCGGCACCGCTTCGGCACCGCTTCGGCCTTACGCGAATCGCGGGGCACGGAGCGCGCAACGGGAGCTCCTCACAGCGCGGCCCAGCTCAGCTGATTAGATGCAAGCAGGCTGCATCTGCACTTATTCGTCGCTCGCGCTGCACTGCAGTGCACTGCGCGCGGGGCGGGGCGGGGCGGGGCGGTCCCGCCACATGGTGATCGAGTGGATCTGATCTACTCGCCAGCGCCGCCAGCGCGCGAGCAGGGTCTAGGGCAGAGCGGCACTGCACGCCGGGGCCGTCAGGGTCACGCCGTCGAGGTGTCGTCGCGCTGCAGACTGATTCACAGAGTCGTTTTCGTCGCTCCGTCTCTCTCGCATTCACGGGGCGTCCCGTGTGGGTGCGAGAGAGACGGGGCGGCGAAAACGCCTCTCGGAATGAGTCTGCAGGCGCTGGTGGCGCTGGTGCAAGGCCTGCAGCAGTGCAGCGTAGGGCCCACATCGGCCCGTCTGGGGCCTGGGGCTGGGCCTGGGCCGTCCCGCCGCGCCCCGCCCGCGAAAACGGGTTCGGTTCACTTGCGCTGCCCAAAGCGGCCCGGAACTTGTCGACTTTCGGACCCGCCCAGGGAAAGTGAGCACGAGAATCGGAGCAGTGCGTGTGTGTCTGAGAGCGCGCCTACTGCGTGTGAGTGTGAGCGTGCGTCTGAGCGCGCCGACGAGGGCGCAAAGTACTAGGGGAGGGAAGCTGAACGCAAGGCTTCGCATGGACCTAGCCCAAAAACACGCAGGGGGCTGGAGGGAACGTGCTCAGAGGCACGAACGTGTTCAAAGGCACGCAAAGGCGAATATAATGAGGGCATGCAAATTTGATGCGTCCTAACTCGCTGTGCCGCCAGCAGACACCCAAGGTGCCGAACTCGGCCACACCCTGCCGAGCAGGCTGCCGCGCCGCAGATCCAAATCAGGCAAATCCCGGCTGACTGCAGACTGGCTGCGCTCTGTCTCTCTCGCACCCACACGGGACGCCCCTTGGGTGCGAGAGAGACAGAGCGACGACAGTCTGCTGGGCGCGCGGCGCGCAAGAAGCCGCTTTATTGCAGCAGCCACACCGCCAGAATACAGTCCGAATCCGACCCAGAAAAAGAAAGAAAACGAGAGACCACGCCGTTCGCACCGCGCACCGCACTAAACACACAAATCGCGCATGCGACGTTTTCGAATCCCCGGGCAAGTTAGCCTGCCTGCATGTGGGAATGTTGACGACCACGACAGGCCGGACAGCGCCGCTCGCTGCAAGCAGCCTCTGGCGGGGCGCTTGTGCAACTGGAGGTAGAGTACGCGGCGGCCGCGGCCATGCCGTGGCGTGTCGACGACAATCTCGACGCCGCGTGTCCCGCGTGTCCGGCGTCGACTCCTCGCCGAATCGAAGCCATTCGGCCATTCATGGAAACGGGGCCAGTGGCTCCGTCTCGCTCGCACCCGCACGCGCCGCGCCGTCGGTGCGACGGAGACAGACAGCGACGACGCCGCGGTGCGGGATCGCCTGAGAGATGTCGCGGCGGCGAGCGGGCGGTGCGCGGTGCGCGTTTTCGGGTGACTGACTCCAATACGCCGAGCACTGAGCAGCCCAGGCAGGCCGACGCGCGGGCGGCCTAAGTCAAAGTCATTGCCCCTGCCACGCGCTGCTCGCCACAGTACTCGCTGCGACGCCACGGCGACGCCGTCCCGTCCCGGCCAACGAGACCGCCGACGCGGTGCGTCCGACTCCTCGGATGGCGCGCCGCGGCTGACGCAAGCGTTCAATGAAAGTCACTGACAGGTGCGCGGCGCCCCGCCCCCCGACCCCGCCCCCGCGTGTGGCCACCGCGACGACAACGCGGTGCCCTGGCCGTGCCGCGCCGTGCCGCCAGCGAGCTTAAAGTTCCGCGACGTTGCCAAAGCAAGGCGCAATGGGAATGGTGCCTCACGGAGATAACGTCTTCGCCTTCGTCCAAGCCTC